ACCGCCAGGTCCCATTGCCTCTACGTGCTACGTATCTAGAAGCCCCTGCCCCCCACCCTTTGCCAAGTATGATGGAACAGGACACAGAGGTCATGACCTGGATAAACTTCCCTGACCTGGGAATGGTTACAGCCAAGGGACGACAGACAGCAAGCACTTTGGACTTGGGCGTACTTGGATCTGAGCCCCCTTGCCACTTCTAACTACATGTATGGGCCTCAGGAGCCCATGCCATGCACTCGCAAGGTACTTGGGAGAACTGGAGGTGGCAGGGTGCGGTGTCCTGCACAGCCCCTGGATGCCGTGATTAGGTCACACCTTCATCATTCTCATCTGTGCTGATGGGATTCTCTGCCTGCCCACTGTGCCTCCCACCATGGTCCCCCTCCACTGTCAGCAGGGTTATTCTGCCTCTGGCCTGTTTTTCTAGAGGCCCTGCAAGGTAAGGCACTGACTCCTTCGGGAAGGAAATCAAGCCTTTATGGTCTGCGTGTCTGATCGAACTCCACAGTTCTGGCCTCAGAGTCCGCCATCCCCCCCCCCCCCCCGCCGCCCCGTTCCCATGCTCCGTGCACCCCGATGTACAGAGAGATGTGCTTTCTCAAATACTGCATGTGCTTTCAGTGCTGGGTCTCCTCCTCCTCCCCCTCCTCCATCCCCCCTTAATCTTTATTTCCGAGAGAGAGAGAGAGAGAGAGACAGAGCATGAGCGACAGGGAGACACAGAATCCAAAACAGGCTCCAGGCTCTGAGATGTCAGCAACACAGAGCCTGACATGGGGCTCGAACTCACGAACCACGAGATCATGACCTGAACCAAAGTCAGGTGCTTAACTGATTGAGCCACCCAGGCGCCCCCAGCATGTCAGTCTTCTGAGCATCTCTTTCCTTTTTCCTAGAACACCTCTGCCTCTTCCCGGTGAACTGCTATGCCTCCTCAGTGACCAGTGTCTACATTCTTCTTGCAGATAACCCCAGAGTCAGTATCTTGGTCATTCCTTACCCTCGGGGACTCTCCTGAGTCCCTTCTCTTCTCCCCTGGTATATTCCCTGGGCACCCCCCTCTCCAGAAATGGAGCTTCTGGGAAGGCTGGGGACCCCATTCGAGTCAACTTTGTCTCCCCAGAGGCATGACACTTTTTACCCTTTGGCCCCATACGTGTTGGCTTGCTTGGAAATAAATCGAAGCTGTTTTCCAGGAATCAGGCAGCTTTGGGGAATAGCTGAGGATGTGAAACCAAAGACATGCTTGAGTTGTAGTGCTTTTTTTCTTTTCTGTGGCAGAAGTAGCCACAGTCACAGCCTGAAAGGGTTCAGGAGGTCAGGAAAAGCACAACTTGAGATGCTAACGGCCTTGCAAGGCCCTTTTGCTTTTCCACATTCACTGTAGCTGAGTTCAAGGCTCGGTGTCATTTCCTCACGTTTGTCCTTTGTTCCCTCGGTCTGGACTTCATCAAATTCACTGCTTTTTAGCCTGTTGAGTTCCTGCAGCCAACAGGAAAGTCATGAATAGCTGTTCAGAAAACACTCAGAACCAAACAAGAAACAACCGGATGGCCTTGCCCTTCTGTACCTCTTCCCAGAAGCCTTCCAGGCCTCGGATTCTCATCTGTCTTCTCTCACGCTTTCTGGTGAAAATTTTTGGTGGTGTGCCTTGGGCTGGCCTCATTCTGCCTGGGAGCTTGCAGAGGGCAAGACCCACGCTGTCCTGGTCTCCATTTTCAGTTCCTGGTTAGTTTAGGCCAAGGGCCCAGCTCACCTGATCCTTACTGATTGGTGGACTCTGGCGGTTCTTGCTGGTGGCCTTTCAAATCCTGCTCTGTTAAGAGTCTAATCAGTTTTAAGTGGCCTGGGCAAAAGCCACTGGCCGCTTGGAGACCCGCTGTGGTGGGTGGTCCCAATACCCAGGAATAGGACAAAGGCTCTGCTATTGGCCGAGGGGCTCTTTCCCAGACAGGACCACCCAGACATGGCTTCCTTCATGCCTCATCTTGGCTCTCACCTACCCATCTTTCCACTGGCAGAGACGAAGGCCACCTTCCAGCCCACCTCTAGGCATATGAGCTGAGCCATCATCACTGACCACATGCAGCATCTGGGCTGCTGGCTGCGTTTTACCTTCTTTTGGCTCCTGACAAGCTGGAGGGGGGTGGACACGGACCTCTGTGGTGGGTGCTTGCTTGGTTCTTCAGCCTTTACCAGGGCCCTGAGAAGGAGAGTGGAGGTTTCTCTGCTGCTTCTCCAGCTTTGGCCAAGTAGAGTTGCCTTCGCGCATGCTCCTGCCAGGAAGAGAGGGCTCTGATTTTTCCAGGCAGTACACACCCGTGTGGGCGAGCTCGCTGACCCCCGTACTGATCTGACAGTCACGTGCGCTGGCCCTGCTGGCACTGCCTTCCTCTGAAACAAGCAGATACCCACCCCCTTCCCTTCCTCCAGCTCTCCTACAAGCAATAGCAACGCTCACTCCAGGGAATCTGGTTTTGCAGGGTTGGGGTTCAGAGGCACCTACCCCACTGAGATCCACAGAGGTGTTTGAACAGCAAGAGGCCGGGTGGCTCTCCCTTAGAACCAGGAGCAGGAGGGCTTCTTTTTCTAATGAAGGGGTCGAGGGGATAGTTTCGGGCTCCTGTTCAGTTCTGGGGAGCTAGGCCATTGGGGGCGCTGGAAGAATGCCTTACGTGGGTAAAAACATCCAGCGGAGTGTTGCCAGTAGCTCAGTCTTTTTTTTTTTTTTTTTTTTTAAACTTATTTCTAGGAGAGAGAGAGAGACAGCGTGAGCAGGGAAGGTCAGAGAGAGAGGGAGTCACAGACTGAAACAGGCTCCAGGCTCTGAGCCGGCAGTCAACACAGAGCCCGACGCGGGGCTCGAACCCACGAACCGCGAGATCATGACCTAAGCAAAAGCCGGAAGCTTAACCGACTAAGCCACCCAGGCGCCCCAATAGCTCAGTCTTAAGAGTCAGACAGCAAACGAGCTCTCTGCTGTGGGCCGTGTGGGGCCTTACGGACCTTCCCGGGGCCCTGGGGCCTTATGGACCTTCCCGGGGCTCTCAGGCCCACATTGTACAACACGGGCATAATGATGCTTATCTCTTTAACTTGTGAACTAGTAGGTGCATAATGAACTCATTCATTCATCCATTCATCCATTCATTCCATAAACATTTATTCAACAATTACAACAGTGTGAGGTGCCAAAGGCGTAAGACAGATGAAGTCCTCTCCTTGAGCTAACAGGTTTTGTCATTTCCAACAACTCTGTGAAAGGGGTAGGGCCTGTGCGGTCTTCTCCACTCTCCAGGTGAGGACAGGAGCTGGGACGGATTGCGGGATGCTCAGAGTCCCCGCAGCAGGTGATACAAGACAGCTCGGATTTCTTGGCTTCTGTGCTTGGGAGCCGGGCCCTCATGTGTAGCCTCTGGTCCTGTGAGCAGATCCATGGTTCTCCTCGTCGGCTGCACATTGGAATCACCTCAGAAAGTTGCAGAACTTCTGACTCCTGGGTTCTACTCCCAGAGATTCTGATAAGCAGTCTGAAGTGTGCCTTAGGTAACAGGACTTTTTTTTAACTTAAAAAATCTTTTTTCTTAATGTTTATTTATTTTTTGAGAGAGGGAGAGAGACAGAGCACGAGCAGGGGAGGGGCAGGAAGAGCGGGAGACACAGAATCCATAGCAGGCTCCAGGGTCTGAGCTGTCAGCACAGAGCCGGATGTGGGGCTCAAACCCATGAACCATGAGATCATGACCTGAAATGAGGTCAGACGCTTAACCGACTGAGCCATCCAGGCGCCCCTTTTTTTTTACCTTTCTTTACAAGTTTATTTGTTTACTTGTGAGAGAGAGAAAGCAAGCTGGGGAGTGGTAGAGAGAGAGAATCCCAAGCAGGCTCCACGCTGTCAGCATAGAACCCGACTTGGGTCTTGAACTCACAAATTGTGAGATCCATGACCTGGGCCAAAATCAAGAGTCAGATGCTCAACCAACTGAGCCACCCAGCTACCCCAGGGATCAGGATTTTTTAAAGCCCCCCAGGGGTCGCAATACAGCCAGGTCTGGAAAGCAGAGAGTAGAGCCTCAGGAAGCTGGCTGCCATTCCTGAGAGCCAGCTGGACAGAAGAGCCAAGATGGCGGCCCCATCAGCAAATGCAGCCTCCTATTCTTAATAGAGATTAGATCACAAATAATAATAATAGCAACAATGGGGAGTGCCCTATTCCTACACTGTTGTTTCCTGCACTGGCATCTCTGCAAGGTGATTCCAGCTAGAAATTGACAAGTGTCTCTACACTTGGCTACACTCTCCACTCTGGTGGTCCTTGTGGGAGCCTATTTGGTACCTTGATCTGTGGGACCAGAGCCCTTAGCCAGCTTGGGAGTGAGACTGGACTCAATTTCAGGCTGAGGTGGCTTCATTACCGAAGAAACTCAGGAAGGTTTTGTTTTTCTGTTTGCCCCACAACCGTGGCGTTTGGCAGATCATCCGTAATGCTGCAGGGACAGCGTAATCACGGTTTCATCTCTGGAATGACTCTGTTTCCCTCTGCTTGGGGAAAGGACCGACAATTGGGTCATCACAGGATTTCTTTTGATGGTTATGGGTTTGACCTGCGTTCAAGTTCCCCAGACCCTGAGCTGTCCTGTTTGAACTTTTCTCAAGGGAGCAGATCCTGTTTCCGGACTCACATGGCCTGATGGGCTTGTCTGGGCCATCTTGGCCACTGTCAGTCCAGCAAATGGTAGACCTGCAGCTTCAGCCAAGGTCATCCATCTCAAAGCCAAGGGCCTGTTTTCCTCTGCCCAGGACCACCTTTTGGCTGCCCCCCGCCCCCTCCCGCCCCGCCCCTGTCACCAGTTGCTTCCAGGCCTTACCCCAAGCCCCTCCCCCTCAGGACCACAGGGCACACGGTGAAGTGACGCAGGGTCTGCAGGTACCTCTGAGCTGGGCCTTTGGAGAGAAGGCAGCCGTTGTAACGGATTCTTCTCTTTTTCCGTGTCTAGCCCTGGAGCAGCTGTTGACGGAGCTGGATGACTTCCTCAAGATTCTCGACCAAGAGAACCTGAGCAGCACGGCTGTGGTAAAGAAGAGTGGCCTGGCCGAGCTCCTCCGGCTTTACACCAAAAGCAGCAGTAAGTGTGGCCCGGAGGCCTTGGGAAGGTCCCCTTGGAAACAGGAAGACGGTCATCTGTGTGCTCAGGCTGCTGTAACAAAGTCCCACCAACTGGGTGGCTGAAATCATAGAAATGTGTTTTCTCAGAGATCTGGAGGCCAGCAATCTGAGATCAAGGTGTCGGGCAGGGCTGGTTCCTTCTGAGGCCTCCCTCTTTCCCCCGCAGATGGCCGTCTTCTCTCTGGGTCTTCACACCATCTTCCCTCTGTGTGCACGGCTGTGTCCAGATTTCTTCATACAAGAAAGAATACCAGTTATATTAGATTGGGACCCACCCTAGTGGCCTCGTTTAATGTTAATTACCTTTTTAAAAAATGTTTGTTTATTTTTGAGAGGGGGAAGGAGCAGAGAGAGAAAGAGAGAGACAGAGGATCTGAAGCTGGCTCTGAGCTGACAGCAGAGAGCCCGACACGGGGCTTGAACTCACAAGTTGCGAGATCATGACCCGAGCTGAAGTCAGACACTTAACCTGCTGAGCCACCCGGGCCCCCCTAATGTTAATTACCTCTTGATGACTCTTTCTCCTACTGAAGTCACATTCTGAGGTATTGAGGGCTAGGACTTAATATATGAAATGGGGGGGAACAGAACTCAGCTCGTAGCAATAGTGTAGGAGTGATGTGACACGGATGAGAGCCCCAGAAAACTCCGAATACCCAGCACAGCAGCCCCGAGTGAGGTTTTAAACAAAGTGTTTTCAAAGCACTTTTCCTCACTCATTCAAAGCAGAGAAGGGATAATAAACTGTGGTAATAATAGCCAGTAGGTGCTTTTCCCACCTGCACACACGTTAACTTGCTTCATCTCCAAGACTCTCCTCTGAGGTGGGTGCTGTTATTACAGATGAGGAAACTGAGGCCTAGAGAGTTTAAATCCCTTGCCCTGTGTCATATGGCCCAAAGGAAAACATAGTTTTAAGGCTATAGTTCACAGAGTTTGTTTGTTTTTCTATCTTTTCTACTGAGGTAGATTTTATAATCAAATACATAGATCTCAAGAAAGCCTTCAATTCAGTGAATTTTGGCATTCGTATACACCTGTATACCTGCCACCCCAAGTAAGTCATAGGATATTTCCATTGTTCCAGAAAGTTCTTTCTTGCCCCCTTTTCAGTGACTTCCTCCCCACCCCCACCCTAATACAACCATTTTTCTGGTTTCTCCCACCACAGATTAGTGTTGCCCCTCCTAGATGGAATATAGGATGTATATCCTACATAAATGGAATCGTAAGGTGTGCACTTGCTATCTGGCCTCTTTCAGTCAGGGGATTTGTCCATGCTCCGTCCGTGCCCCGAGCTGTGTGTGTTCCTTCTGTTGCTCGGTAGTACTCCAGTCTGTGACTGTACCACAGTCTTCTTGTCCGTTCACCTGTTGATGGACTTCTGCGTCGTCAGGTTTGTGTTATTACAAATAATGAGGCTGCTCTGAACATCCTCGCACAAGCCTTCTTGGGGACATGCTGGTTTCATTTCTAGCACATTCTGATTTTCTTTCTTTCTTTTTTTTTTTTTTTTTTTTTTAAAGGAAATGCCTTCTTGTGAAGCCCTAACAGCTTAGTTGATTCTGTTTCTGTATCGGATGAGAATTGGAAGTGATATTTTGGGACAGTCAGGGACCTTAAGAGGGCACCTAATCCATCTGCCTCGGGGCAGGAAGCAGCCTAAATCCGCTGCCCGAAAAGGGAAGTGGACCCTCTACGGCCGTCACGGTCAGGAAGTTCTCCGGAATGTCCAACCTGGACCCACCAGGTTACATTTCAGGGTCGCTTTTCCTTTCCTTGGTTCCCTGTGGAAGATTTATTTTCTGAATGAGTGAGAAGCCATAAAGCTGAGGCCTGTCGCCATGTGCCCGGCAGCCTTCTCTTTTGCTGGAATGACCCGGCTCTCTTCGCCTTCCACGAGAGGTGTTTGCCCCGGGCCCCGTGCATGGCCTTTGCCACTCTCCAGGCCACCCCGGGTTCCCAGGCTCCTCCTGGCTCTGAAACTAGCGTCGGCTGGCCTGCATGAGTGCTGGCGAGCGGCACATCAAAGGTGGGAATGGTGGATGGGCAAGCCACATTACACAGCAGGCGAGGTAGGGGTGAATCACTCCGTGGCAGGATCCATCGTGGAGGCCTTGAGGAAGCACACTGCCCAGACCGTTTAGATGTGCTCTGACCTGAGACTGTTTAATGATAGACCGTACCTCCGTGGGCAGCGGGGAGACACCTCTGTGACGGGCTCCCACCGGCGTTCTGGTCCATTCTGATCCTCTTGGTCCACATACTTCTTGGTTCTAATCACTCTATCAGGGCCCCCTGGGTGGGGTCCCTCTGTGGGTTAATGTGCCGTGTGGCTTCCTATAGGTTGACCTTTGTTTTACCCCAGGTGTTTGTATATTCTGCTCCGATAAGGTCAGGCCTTCCCTCCCACCCCCACCCTCAGACTCTGCACCTTGCAGGGCTGCAGGTGCTGCTGAGACCAGTCAGGAGATGCTCAGGGTGAGCTGCCCACAGAGCCCCCACTCAGACCACCGGAAGTGTGTGCACAGCCCTACTGGGACCTGCAGCTGCCCCCCCCCCCCCCCAAACTCCTGCTCTCAAGGCTGAGGTCCATTCTGGTCCTCTCTGCTCTCTCCGCCAGCAGCTGACATACAACTCTACTCGTCAGCTCTGTAACAGCGGCTGACGTCTTCGGTGCCCAGACTCGGTCCCACCACGGTGCTTAACGTGTGAAGTGACATAGATCGTGCCACCCTGTCCCCATCCCGAGTCAGAGACAGGGCTGTTGTCTTCCTCTTCTCCACAAGGGAACCGAGGCTCGGATCGTCACTTCTTCAAGGCACAGGGCTGTGAGCCCGGGCTCGGGGCTGGGCAGAGACCAAACCACTCTGCTCCCCTCCCTGTCCCACGTGCCAGCTTCGTCTGCACCACAGCAATCGTGCTGCGCAGGGCAGAATCCAAAGCCCCCCTGAATCAGAGCGCTTGTCTTCCTTCCCAGCCTCCCAGGCATGTCTCGCCGTGCATGTTCCAGAAAATGAGCTCAGCTTGATGACACTTGTAGGTGGAGGCAGGCTGATCATTTCGAGATAGTCTGTGGTCTACACTGTCTGAGCTGTTGTTTACGCCCACGCATTTTGGACAGAGTGTGAGAGAGAAAGAGAGCGAGAGCGTGTGTGTTTACCCTTTTCAAATTGTCCATTTGGGTTTTCTGATCTTTTATCGTGTGACTGTGAGAAGAGTTTTCTACTCTCTTTGCCTTTCATCTGGGTGTGAGGTCAAGGCAGGGATTGAAGTTTATGAGGAGCCTGCTGTTCGTTCCCATCTGCACCTGAGAGGCTCACGGGTCCCCCGGTGCTCTGCTCAGAGACTCTGGGAAGGTTTTGGGGCTGCTCCTCTGAGAGGAAGAGCTGCTGATGTCCTGTCTATCTGACTATAGCAAAAGGGGTCATGTCCCTCCCCTCTACCCCCACCCAGTTCTCTGGGAAAGACGACCCGCTGCACACAAGGGTCATTTCCCAGAAGTCACACACTTAGCACAGTGAATGCTCCTTTCCAGCCCTACCTGTGCTGCCGTCGTTTCCTACGAGCTTGTGTTAACTGTCCCATTCGGGTCTATTCCCTTCTCCGTTTTTGGACTCATATAGGGAGAGACAGTGTCTATTTCATTCTGTGCTGTATCCCCAGCACCTAGCACGGTGCGGGTGCTCAGTGCACTTCTGAAAACGAATGAGGGAATGATAGGAAATTCTCCAACCCAAGGCTACTGCCTCCCAGCCATGGGACAGCTCAGCAGTCTCCTGTGTCAGGGCCAAGTTCACTGGGCATTTCCTGGGATTGCAGACGGTAGTGAGAGCCTCTCACTTACCTACCTGGATTGTCCCGGATTGGCAGTCCTAAAAATCAAACCAGGGCCAACCGTGGCATGCCCAAGGCAGGAGTCGCAGCACCAGGAAGAGGCCAGCGTGAGTTTTCTCTACCGCGTACGAGTCACCATCTTGCGGAGGAAGCACTTGCCCAGAATCTAACAGTTAAAACAACGACAACAATATCTTGCCTTTTTGTTCTTTTTCTACAGGAGTGTGGGCTTAGTCAACAATAAGGAAAAAGAAATGAACATAAAATGAACATTAAACTATTTACATTCCTTCAATTCCTATTTTGATCTTTATCAGCGTCATCTGAATATTTTTATATAGCTGTGGTTTGCCTCTATTCTGCTTTACGTTATTTTTACATTTAGAATCGCTGCCGGTGCACATTTCTGGGTGCTGACAATTCACATACTTTTTTTTTTTCTTTTGCTATTCTGAAACATGACCCTTTAACTGTAAGTCTTGGGTATCTTCGTAAATAGCAGACATAGGGCTACTTTGTTATTTTTCCCAGTTGAGTAGTGTCCACTGATACATGAACAGTGATGTTCAACCAGCCTCCCATTAGTGACATTTAAAATTTGTAATTAAAGATAAAACTCCTACCGTATTGCAGCGAATATCCTCAAATCAGGTTCTGTTTACATGCTGGGGTGTATCTTCAGGACAAATTTCTGGCAGTGGAAATGCTGGGTTAAAGAATATGAATACTTCAAAAGAATATGAACACTTTTTTTAAAGTTTACCTATTTTGAGAGAGAGGGGGAGGGAAGAAGAGAGAGAGAGAAAGAGAGAGAATGAACAGGGATGGGGCAGAGAGAGAGAGTGAGAGAGAGAGAGAGAGAGAGAGAGACGGAGAGAAAGAGAGAGGAGGGGAAGAGAGAATCCCAAGCAGACCCTACAGGGCTCTGCACTATGAACTGTGAGATCATGACCTGAGCTAAAATCAAGAGTTGGACGCTTAACAGACCAAGCTACCTAGGTGCCCCAAGAATGTGAACACTTTAACTTATCCTCTAAAATCACTTCCAAAATGGCTGTGCCAATTTATACACCCTCTAGTAAATTCATTTATTTTTATTTTTTTAAAGTTTATTTATCCACTTTGGTGGGGTTTTTTTGTTTTATTTATTTCTGAGAGAGAGAGAGAGAGAGAGAGACACCATGAGCAGGGGAGGGTGAGAGAGAGAGGGAGACACAGAATCTGAAGCAGGCTCCAGCCTCTGAGCTGTCAGCACAGAGCCCAATGTGGGGCTCGAACTCACGAACCATGAGATCATGACCTGAGCCAAAGTCAGACGGTTAACCGACTGAGCCACCCAAGCGCCCCAATTTATCCATTTTGAAAGAAAAAGAGTGGACAAGTGCATGTGAGTGAGAGAGGGGCAGAGAGAATCCCGACCAGGCTCTGTACATCCAGCGCACAGCCAGACGTGGGGCTCAAACCCACGAACCGTGAGATCGTGACCTGGGCCAAAATCAAGAGTGCGGCGCTCAACCCACTGAGCCACCCTGGTGCCCACATTTATTGGTAAAGGTGATGTGCTGTTATACACGTTGATGTGCCACATTTTTTTTTCAACTTTTCTCATTATTGAGCCATTGAGTTATTCCCCATGTTTTAGGCTGTCATTTTTTTTTTTTTAAGTTTATTTATTATTGAGAGAGAGAGAAAGCACGAGTCAGGGAGGGACAGAGAGAGAGCGAGAGAGAATCCCAAGCAGGCTCCGCTCTGTCAGCACAGAGCCCAACGCGGGGCCTGAACCCACGAACCTCGAGATCACGACCCGAACCAAAGTTGGATTCTTAACCAACCAAGCCACCCAAGTGCCCCTAGGCTATCAGTTTTCATCTTTTGTTAGTTATAGGGCGAACTTTTTCAGGTTCCTTAGTATTAGAGTTTTGTACCCTTGGAAACGTTGAGTTAGGTAGAAACAGGCAGTATTCATCACAGTTGTTTTCCATATGATGCAAACAAGAAAACCAAGGCATGTGTGTTAGCTGCTTTGCTCAGAAGGACACGGGTGACGGCTGGGCTTGCTGCATGCCCCTGAAGAACACTCTTCTTGCGTGCTTCCCTTAGGAGAAGGTCCTGACCCGGCCCTCCGGGTCGCAGTCCATGGAAGTATACTGCTTGTGGCTGACTCCACTTAGACCTCGTAGTGCCTTCCCATACCCTGCAGCACTATGGGGGGATGTTGCTGACTGGGGCTGGCGGGGGACCGGGGTGGCCACCCCACAGGCTGGTCGCAGAAGACCCCTGTGGCTGTATCCTCCCCATCTTCTTCTGGGTTTCTAGGGCTCTGTTTTCACAGGCCTTTTGGCTGGAGGCCTGGCGGTCGGTCTGTGGTACGGGTCTGACATTGAGCTGCCTCCTTCGCCAGGGGTTTGAATTGGGTCCCTTGGCTGGGTAATGCCATCTCCCAACTACTGGAGCCACATGTTTCTAGGAAATGCAACTTAAGGGGCAAGAAAGAAATGCAGGTGGATTTCTAAGAGGAGAAGCACTAGAATGAGCTTCCTGGGCAGTGTTCTGAAGAAAGGGTCTTCGGGGATTAAGATACTGAGCAGGTGTTGGGAGACTAACATTCTCTGTCCAGACGGGCCCTGGGAAGGTCACCTACACAGAAATGATTTTAAAAGAGGGAAGAGTGGAGCTGCGGCGGGTATGATCTACAGGGTAGAACAGGCGCCTGGGGCTCCACTTTCCATTCCTCGCACACTCACCCCTCCAAACCCAGAGCCTGAGCCCCCACCTTCGCACCCCACCTAAAGGCCTGGGAGCTAAATTCCCAGATCCTCAATGTGCCCTGTCTTACAGAGACCTCACTCTGATGAGCCCAAGCAAGTAACTCAGACTAGAGTGAGAATGATGGATATGAAATATTTCACAAGTGAAAGGAAATGCTAGGAAACCCAGGGAAGTCTGCTGGGTGGGATATGGGGTGGGTCTTTGAGGTACGGGTACCTTTGCACTTAAGACTTTTATTCCTGAAGCTATGTTTCTGGACCCATCTTTTCCCTCCCCCACTGCCACCCCACCCCTAGGCTAGAAAACAAACAGTCAGCAACTTGGCATTTCTGTTTTTGGAAATCTGTCAGCTCTGTAATGGACTCTTTCAATCAATTCAGGATGCTGTATGCTTTTCCTGGAACCCAGGCTATGACAGGGTCTTTCTGGCGGGACGCTCTTTCTCTCCAGAAGCCATTTCCTGTCGTGGAATCACGTGAAACCTTGGTCTTCTACCCTCCTGCTGCAGGTTGCGATGAGGAGTACATTTATATGAACAAAGTGACCGTCAACAAGCAACAGAATGTGGAACCCCAAGACAAAGGTACAGGCTGAGGCCGCTGGTGGCACAGCCAGGGTCCGGGAGGGGGGCGCACGAGCCCTGGTCCCGTCCCACCCCTCCTTCCTCCCAGCCAGCACCACACAGCCCAGTGGGGTTATTTCTGGCAGTCGCATTATGGTTGATGGTATTTTGAGTTGATATATTTTGGGAGATTTCATCGGGCCACCTCCTAGCCTCTTAAAGGTCCCGTGGCCCGTTTATGGGTAAGGAATCTGGCCCTAAAGTCTCTCAGCTTTTCCCGGCACCAGCCCAGGAATAGGAAGTCACAGTCTGAGGTTCTAGGAAAGCAACCTTCGTGCTGATTCCACGCCCCAGCTTTATATCCGAAGTCTGGATTTCTTTTAATGTTTATTTATATATTTTTGAGAAAGACGGAGAGAGTGAGTAGGAGAGGGGCAGAGAGAGAGGGAGATAGAGAATCCCAAGCAGGCTCTGCGGTGTCAGCACGGAGCCCGACGCGGGGCTCGAATGTGTGAATCCTGAGATCATGACTCCAGTCTGACCAAGAGTCGGGCGTTTAACTGACTGAGCCACGCAGGCACCCGAAGTCTGGACTTGATGGGTGTGGGGCGTGGTAGAGGATGGAAACGTCAGCAGCTGCCTTAATGTTCAAAAGTTTTGCTCAAAGGTGCTCTCTGGGCAGAACGTTGTATCTTAAGTCGGAAGGCCATCGTGTGCCTTCCATGTAGCTTACTCTTCTGCTCTCTCCTTCGCTCTGAAAACCTTCAGGAATGGCTCTGGCGTTTGCAGCCCAGAGGGGATTAGAAGCCCCATCCCCCACCTCCCAAGCCTATGACTGAGGCTTAGCAAGAGGCGGGGACACAGTTCTCCAAAGCATTCTGTCCTGTTAAAGTGCCGGTCCCCAAAGCCCCAAGGTCAGGTCTGCCTGAGCCTGCCTGTCCCGGGGCCTGGCTGGGCCGCTGGCTGAAATGGTCAGGCTCAGAACAGCCTCTGGATCCTTCTCGTTAAACGCACACACAGGGTTGGTGGCCATCTTCTCCGCTGTGGCTTTTTCACCTCATGTTTTCACCGCCGAGCCTGGGGCTCAGCAGAAATTATCCACGTGCAGGCTGCCACAGAGCCCAGGGCCATTTGCCTTCTGGGGAAACTGGGGTGGGAAGAGCCGTAATCACAGGGCCGGTGCCGAGAGCTGCTGCAGACCATGACCGCAGGGCAGCTCCTCGGCTCGCCCGAGCTCTGTGGCGAGGCCATTTTTGGCACAGGGCAGGCAGAAGAGAGGGTGTGGAGGCTGCCAGGAACCCCAAACCCATTCCTTCTGAGGAATCTGCCCGTGGCTGGGGCACCACTGTACCCTATTCTTGAAGGAAGACCAACATTGGGTCTTGGGACCTCCTTGTGAGTGTGATGAGCACCTGCTCAAATAGATCTCACGGCACATGTGACCAGACAGTCCGGATGACTCACCTGCTGTGACACTGGGCACCCCTCACTGAAGCCCTCTCCCACTTGCTGCCCACAGCACCCGAGGAGCAGAACCCCCTGACCAATGGGGAGCCTGGCCAGCACTCCCTGGCCCCTCAGAAGAGCCTTCCAGACCTCCCGCCACCCAAGATCGTAAGTGTTCATCTGACACCCCCGATTTCCGGACTGGGGCCCCGTGAACCTCCAGTTGCTTTCACAGGGGTCGGTCCACCAAGCAGCTGGCATTTTCTGAGCACCTCCTGTGTGCAGGACGTGGGCAGAGCACTGGGAGAGACAGAACAGAAGCATGCCTGTCTGCGGGTGGCATCATCTGCCCAGGGCCACGGTACTCAGGACACTGAGGGTAACCAGAGTGGGAGTTGCAGGGGGTTGCCTTTATTGACTGCCACCAAGTGTTTGAGGCTCCGCCAGTCTTCACCCAGCACCATGGGAGTAGAGCTGTGTAGAGCTGTGGTCACCAGCTCAGGCCGCAGTGAACTTTTAGAAATGTAAACCATATCGCCTTGCACTTCCTGCTTCAGAGTGGCCAAACGCTTTCATTGAACAAAAAACATCCATGTTCCTTAACCCAGCCCCACAGCCTACACAGTCTATACAGTCTACACTGGCCCAGCTACATCTGCAGCAGGCCTCCCTTCTGCTGTTGGATTATGCCACAGGTTCAGTGTTGCCTCAGGGACTTTGCACAGTCTGGATCCTGGCTGCCTTCTTCTCATCTCCCAGACATTCACAGACTTTCCCTGACCTGGGGCATGAGGCATCCCAGCTCTGTCCCCACCTCTGTCACTGTCTACCCCATGGCAGTTACCCTCCCCCATGGCCCTTGCCACCACTGAAATGATCTTTATATCATTTGCCTCCCAGACCAGATGTGAGCTTCCTAGGACAGAGAGATGTCTCTCATTTATTGCTTCCTGCCCTGTGTATGCGCACAGTAGACCATACACATGGATTTGTTCGTGGATGGGTGGAATGAATCACGGAACCCTATAGACCTGGGTTCAAATCCCAGATCCACCAGGTACTGGCTCTTTGACCTTGAGGAAGTTATTTAAGGTCTCTGACCCTTTGTTTCCTGGTGTTTAAAAAGAATGTGAATCTCTGTCTCCTGAGATTGTGTCATGTGGTGGGCGAAGGCTGTGTGTGGCACATTATGTTAGTATTCAGGGAGGTACGTAGCCGCGTTCATATTTTATGGGTGAGGACACCAAGAATCAGCAGGTTTATAGCATCTGAATGTCGCACACACAGAAGTGGTGGAACCAGAATTTGAACCCAAGTTCTTCCCTGTCTGGGTCAGGGAGGCTTCCTAGAGAGGTATGAAGTGAGAAATGGGAAGGATTTCTATGGGTGGCAAGGTCCTGGGGTCAAGAAGTGGGAAGGGTTTGTGGGGACAGCGGGGTCCCGGGTTCAGTGCCAGCAGGAAGCTGTGTGACTCCATGATCACTGAGCTCCCAGCGTGCTATGCAGGGACAGATCTGTGGGCTCAGGTCACTGCTGAGGGCATCCGGACCCCAGCCTGCCTCCCTCTGTTCACACCTTCCTGAGGATGTCAGTATACCTGGGACAGTACCTGGTGCATAAAGCGCCCCCAGCTGGGTGACAGCTGGCCGGGACTCTTCATCCAGGCTGGGTGAGACGTGATGGCCTGCGCCTGAGTCCCTGCTGTCCCCAGTATGCCGACAAAGCAGGTGACCGCCACGCCTCGGCAACTAGCCACCACGATGCACACAAACTGGTTCTGTGCGCCATCCTTCTACAGGCGCATATTTTTGTCACTGATTTCATATGAAGAAACAGAGGCTCAGTTCAAATCGCTGGCCAAGGGCCCACCTCGGGGAGGTAGCAGGGCCAAGACCTGAATGCAGGTTCTTGGTTTCCAGGCCGCTCTGCGGCCCTCCTGATTTAAGCTCATCTTTCCAGCAGAGCGAAGGTGCAAGCTCTGGTCCTTCGAGCTGTGGGCTCCGCTCCCGGCCACAGTGCTTGGGCGAGGGTGCCCGGGCCCTCTGCTCCTGACCGCTTGCCGCCAGTCTAACCAGTGGGAGATGCCGTGGTTTGCTGGGGGTGCTCCGGGCCCTGCTGGCTGGGTGGGGGGAGGAGGGGAGGTGGCCGCTCTGCTCTGGAACGTTCCTCTCCTGAATTCAGCGCCTGCCTCTGACCAGGGCCTTCTGCACAGCGGAAGTGCCCCTGCCCGCCATTCCTGGGGCAGCAGATTACAGCTCTACACCCAGCGGGAGAGGCTTTCACCAGGCAGAGCCTCACCGGCACCGAGTACTGGGTGGTGCTGACTCGCCCTGGAAATCTGTGCTTTGCAGACATGGGGGTGGGCCCGGAGACCCAGGGTCTGGGACCAGGTTGTCGGGAAAAGCCAGTCGGGCCACACTCGTCCCAGCGGCCCCTGGCGCTGGCCTGTCCTGCTCCTTTGCCGGATGCCCTGTGATGTGAGATGTGGGGCCTCTGAACGGGACGAAGGTCTTCCCCCAGAGCCGACTTCCTGTGTTGGCAGTGACTAGGGGGCCGCGCGGGGCCCGGAGAGGCCTGTGTTGGCCTTTGAGCGAAACCCGGTGCTGGAGTTGGGGGAAATACCACCCCCCACAAGTGACACAGCCCCAGGGGGCCTTCAGATGTGCGGTAGTTGTTCCTGGGGACAAACTCTGGGCCCTGGGGAGGGCTCCAGCAAGGCCAGCTCATTCACAGTCTTCTCTCCTTGCGGGGTTTCTCTGCTGAGGAGGACGTGGGGTGCTGAGCCGGCTGAGCCCGTTCTCGGTCCCTCGTAGTCCTGTATTGAGCGCCCCCACCCCCACCCTAGGGGACTTCCATGTGCAGAGTCAGGAAGGCCTGGCATCGACCGGATTCCCCCTCTGGCCTCCTCTGGTCAAGTCTGGCTGCAGCAGCCGGAGCTCTGAGTCCAAGGCCCCCTGAGGAGTGGCGTCAGGGTGGAGTGGGGAACAGCTGTGTCTTCTGGCCCTGAGGAAGGGGAGGAGAACCGGAGAGGGAGTGAGCGAGAGAGCGAGCGTGGCGGCATGAGCTTGGAGTGACCCTGTAACCTCTCTTCCTGAGACAGAGAAAACCGCTGCCCTTCCCACCCTGACTCCAGAGCCTCGGGGTGCCGGGAAGCTTGTCCCCCCGAAGGCCTGGCTGCGGGCTTGCTGCTGGCTGGGACACCTGCGGGATGTCTGCCCGTGGTCCTCGGTGCCTGTGGCTGGGCCAGCAGCGCGGGTCTGTCCCAGGCTCAGGATGTCCTGGTTCCTCCGGTGGCTTGGGTCCCCCCGCCACCCCCGCAGAGTCCGTGGGTAGCAGTGGAAGAGGCAGTTGGGGGGGCTGGAGCCACCTCGTGGGTGTGACCTGTGACTCAGGCTGCCGTGTGCACAGCCAGGTGCCGCGATCACCGCAGGGGAAACCGATGTCTGCTGGCGTCGTTTGTGCTCCTGGCCAGCGCAGCCATCCCCACCCCAGCTGCCCTTGGAGGCCCGAACATGCATTGGCGCTGCTCTTAAGTGAGTTACTCTACGGGGGAAGCAGCGTACTCCACACAAGGACGTCGCCACGGTCGGTCCGAGGAGCCAAGGCCGGTCGGATGTCCTGTCCCTGTCCCGGGAACGTTCCACGGTGCCGGCTGGGGCGGCTTGCCCATCGCCGCAGAGACAGACGCCGCAGGTCATCCGGGCCACTGCTCACGTTCAACCCTCCTGTCTAATCTAAATCGGGATTGGCAGACTCTGGCCCCCAGGCTACACCCACAGCCACCTGCTAGTGTAAATAAAATTTTATTGGAACATAGCCACACTTCTCAGTTATATATTATCCATGGATGCGTTTACTCTGCAGCAGCGGAGTTGAACAGCTAAGTTCAGTGACCCTAAATGGCCTGCCAATCCCTTAAGTATGTGTTATCGGCCTTTTACAGATAAGTTTGCTGACCTCTTGCAAATCCTGCTGAGCAGGGTGTTTCTTGTCCCTTCCTGTGAATTCTCAGAGCCTTCTGTAAGTTGTGAAGTCACCTCTCTTCTGCGCCTGTGTTCAGTGTCTAAAACCTGCGCGGTCACAATGATGATGAGGAATGAACGGTCCTTTATTCTTATCCCCAAGAAATTAGCCTCTCTCGCTCCTTTGACTTCAGAAAATAGGTCGTTCTAATTGTGCAATTATGTGACTCTCTTCTGAATTTTTGTATAAATCAGTTTAACCTTTAATTTGACTCAGGTGCTTATGTTTTGCCCCAGCAGCCTTGAGGGCAGGGACCATCTTCTTTAATGAGGCTGAGCTGGGGCATAAGCCTGGGCGACCCCAAACATCTCCTCCATCTCCTCAGCATGCGGCGGTTCTTCCTCTGTCGAACATGTATACTGGCAACTTTTCTCCCTTCGTTGATATTTTAATGTGTTTTAGGTCAGTAAAAATGCATACGTATTGAATGATAGTGCTGGGCACAGTTTCATCCTTGCAATGATTCCATGTGACAGGTATTTCTATGCTTCCCATCTTGCAGTGGAGGAACTGAGGCACAGAGAAGTCAAGTAAGTTGCCCAGGGTCACACAGCTTGGGTGCACCAGTGTCAGGTTTCAAAACCTAGCCCTGGAGGTTGGATTCCTACCACCTCCCTTTCCTGCCTCTCCCCATAGATCCATTTACAGGGGATTTTACAGTGAGAGCCTTGGGAGTTTCTCAGAAGACACTCCCTAGGATTCCACGCTCATATAGGACAGTAGGACCCACATGGTGAGAATGACCCATGTGGGGCTCCTGAAGAAAGTTTCGTCTCCCCCCGCCCCTCATCGTCCTGTTCTGATTGCAGGGCTGCAGCTGCGTCTTGGATGTTTGGAGCTTCTCTCTAGATGGGACCCAGCTCCTCATTGAGGGAAGGGTCCCAGCACCACCTGATGGGGGTGGGGCTTCCGGAGGCTGGAGCCGGAGGCCAGGCCAGCTTAGGAAACATGAGCTCCAGGACCCACCTGTGGGGACCTTGCTGCTTCTCAGGAGAGGCGATGCTCTCCCCTCCGACCCCGGGAAGCTGGCTCTCAGGGGACCACGGCTCAGTCTCGGGCAGCCCTTTCTCCAGCTGATCAAAGGGCCGGGAATGGCCGAGACGATCAGAGACAGCTCGCCAGGCTTGTGGCATCAGAGCTGAAAGGTCATCTGCTGGCTGCGACCGTGTGCACGGCCTGCCCTTCGGAGGGAGCCTGGCCCGAGGCGCCACTCACAGCCGCGTCTGCGGGCCCAGGGCAGCCGCTGATCTGCTGAGGAAAAGAGCTCAGTCTGTTCTTTTCATGCTCTGTGCCTTCCTGCCTGTCGGGTGCTGCCCCTGTGGGGGCTGGGCGCCGCTCGAAGCCTACCTCTGGCTATGTGTCCACCCTCCGGACGTGAGGCCAGATGAATTCGGAAGGGTTCCGAGTTGGACCCACACTCTGCCTGGCCTCGATGACCCTCTGCACGTAGACCTGTCTCTGCTTGCTGGACAACGATCTGGTGACCAGGCTCCTGCCACACCCCACCCCCACCCCCAGGGCATGGACGGTCCCCAGACAGTGACAGTGACGGCCTCCTCATGTCTGATCCGGACCAAGCATTGTGGGAACGCGGTCACGTTTTGTCTCACTAAACCATCAAGACCACCCTGGTTTTACTCGTGTTTAACAGGGAGGGAGGGCGAGGGAGAGGCCCTCACGTCCCCTCCGTTAAATCTAGAGAGTCCTAAAGCCCTGATTCCAACCAAGTTATATTCACTCCAGAGTCCACATGAGTCCAAACCACACAGGACTTGGCTCTGGGATGCTGGTTTTGGGAAAGCAGCCACAGGATCATTGCTCTGCCCTGGAGGATGCGGGGAGCGGACACTCTCGCAGCCCAGGCTGAGTTCTCCCGCGGGGACCCCAGCCCAGGCTGAGTCCTCTCCCACCATCTCCTGGGCCGAGACCAGGGGAGCTGTCTCTGTCCGAAGTCCCTCATTTTCATGAGTGCATTTTCAGAGGCAGGGGTTTCTAGATCCGCCCCTTCTGCCTGCAGGGCAGGGAATCCTCCAGGTCCAGAGTCCCATCCGAGCCCCCAGGCCGTGCAGGGTCTTTCCGTTGGCTGCCTTCCTTCCTTCTCCTCCCACCCCCTTCTGCTGCTTTCACTCGAAGTTCCCCCATGCCCAGCACAAGGACTCTTCAAAACCCCGAGCGGGCGTGCACTTCAGATTTTGCCATTTCTGCCCTCTCATTATGGATGTTTCCCCAGCCCACCTCGGGGGTTGCGTGATTCGGGGAGACACCAGAGAATCATGCGGACGGATCCTTGCACACTTAAGACCTGTATCTGGTACTACTCATGCAACAAGCGACGGCTTTTCTCTCCGTTGCCACTGCTTACAAGATGACTTTCATAGTCTAGCACCCGTTTTGCAGTGCAGTAATGGAGGAGCACAGAATTTCACGCCCCGTGTTTCTACACGTTTGCATCTACTCTTTATTCTTCCCCATTTGTGCTCATGCTACATAAGAAGCTCCGGGTCATCTTTGAGACTCAAAGATTGTGTCCTCCCAGGGCTGGTCAATGCTCCTCACCCCCTCCGGGTTCCCACGGAACTTTGACCTTGCCTATTAGAGCATGACTCACGATACACTTGAGTGGAAGCCCTGAACATTCACTCCCTAGTGAAGCCTTCCTCGGGACCGACTCCGGAACATCCGGACGTATCCCTTGCAGCTTGGACACAGGACTCATCCGATATTTGCTGACCGAGCGATTGAACTTAATGTGGTAAAAGTTCAGGATTTAGAACCCCAGGGCATCTTCCTCCATGAGTATTTGATTAGCCCTTGTCTTTTTAGAAAGTCTGTGCTATTTAGAAGCCATAACAGCCTGGCACCATCTGGATGTTTGTATGCATTCTGTATCATGTGCACAGCACTGTTCTGTGTGTGTGTTGCAGTGAGGGTGGATTTGAGCCTCATTTTGCACAGGAAGAAGCTGAGGCTCAGTGAGGTTAACCAATGTGCCCACCGCCTTCATGGGGAGCAAACCAGTGGACGTGGCTGTCAGGACTGATGGCATTCCATGTTCTCCCTCCCAGCTGACTTGAAGTCCAGCTGGGCATTTTTCCTTCTTCTTCTAGAATCCCCTCCTTCCACTCAAAGGGTTAATTCCAAGTTGTTCTCAGTGTATCATATCTGAGTATGTTTATTTTATTTGTTCATACCACAGATTCCTGAACGGAAACAACTCTCCATCCCAAAGATTGAGTCTCCAGAGGGTTACTATGAAGAGGCTGAGCCGTATGACACATCCCTCAACGGTACACCCCGGGGCCAGGGCTGGGGCTCAGAGGGGGTCCAGTTACTTCCTGCGCAGATGCCAGCGCTGGAGGCCACAGAGCGCTGGGCCACTGCTCTGGTGGGGGGAGCTGGGACCTCACAGTGGACCCGGGCTGCCCGCAAGGAGGCTGGGATGGTCCGCAGTGAATGGTTTCCTGTGTCTGATGCTTTTGGTGTTTCCGTCCGGATGGTGCTGGCCTCGGCACAGAAAGGTGATGGAGGAGAGGTGTGTGGGTCCAGGGACACGTGTAAGCAATGGGAACATGGTCAGGCAGAGCCAGAGGGCTCTCTCGTTGGACTGACAGTGAACTGTGCTCACGCTGTGTGCCAGGAATGCTTTTAGGAGTCAGGAGCTCAGCAGAGCTCAGGAGAGTCCAGCGTCATGGCCCTTAGAGTCTGTTTAGATAGACAGACCACAAGTAATCATAGGATGTGTCAGGTGATGATACAATGTTAGGATGGAAAACATGGGGGCTGGGTTGGGGCAGGAGAAGGTGTTATTTTAAACAGGGAAGGTCTTGCTGATAGCATGACCTGGAGCTGATTCCTGAATGCAGTGGAATGTGGGGAGGGCAGAGACCTACAGGAAGAACTTTCCAGATTTTGCAGCACATGCAAAGGCCCTGAGGCAGGAGGGCTCTCAGCACATTTAAGGAACAGCAAGGAGGCCTGTGTGGCTGGAGCAAGAGGAGAGACAAGAGGGGGGGAAATGAAGTCAGCCGGTCACAGTGAGGACATTGGCTTCTCTCTGCTGAGGCTGCAAGCCATTGGAGGGTTACTTTAGTGACTGACCTGACATAGGTATTAAGGTGACCTGTGCTACAGGGTCAGGACTCACGCTGGAGCTCTCTACCCTTGGCCAGTGGTTCTCAGCCTGGGAGAGTCAGATCAGAAATGCTCTGGGTTTGGGCTCAGGTCATGATCTCATGGTTTTGTGAGTTCAAGCCCTGCGTCGGGCTGCATACTGACAACACAGAGCCTGCTTGGGATTCTCTGTCTCCCTCTCTCTCTGCCTCTCCCCTGCTTGCACTCTCACTCGCTTCTCAAAATAAATTAACTAAAAAAAAAAAGTCCTCTTGGTGTAGAGATTCAATAGCACAGAAAGGCCCCAAACGTTCTGGAAGGAAGAGTATTGATGGGCCTACGCACTCGAGCACTTGAGCAGCTGCACTCGGGCCCTCTCGCTGCCCCCGCTTACCTCAGTCTGCTCCTTTCCTTGCTCAGTGAAAGGTCTCTGAAAGCGTAAAGCAATTTGCAGATGTAAGAGGCAAGGGTCCCCCCCAGGGAATGAACTTGGCCGGGGACGGGTGTCGTCGGTTCTGCAAAGAACAGGACCAGAGATCACACGGGCCCGGGCCCTCGGAGCTGCGTCAGACCCTTCTCTCCCTTCACACCTTACCTACTGCCTCCGGTCCCAGGAACTGTGTGGGAGGCGAGGGCCTGTTTGGATGAAGGTTATTTTATTCTCCTGGCTTTGTGGGCAGACATCACTTAACTGGAACCCGCTGCGCGCGTGGGGCGGGGCCGTGAGCCCAGACCCAGGCCGAGGGTGCGGTGCGGCCGTCTGTGTGCGTGCGGAAGGAGGAAGCTGTGACTCACCGTGGCGAGTGCCTCTGTGCCCTGCAAGCCGGGCTCTCCCGGGTGTGGCCCGTGCCAGCCGGGGCCTGCCTTCCAGACGCTCCCGGGGGCAGACGCGTCATCTCGTCACCAACAAGTGGGCTCAAGCCTCTTGGTGTTTGTCTCTCGACTGGGAATTCAGGTTGGTTTTAGCGAGGACTGGGGCGTCCCTGTGAGGACGGCCTGGGCACAGCAAGGTGGGCAGGAAGATGCCAACGGCCTGTCCTCTCCTGCGGGGACAAGGACCAGGGTGACTCGGTGGGGGGAAGTGGTCACATGTGCCATGACGGGAGGGCCTCCCCTGCATAGGGAGCTGGCCTGCCTTGCTGATTGTCCCCTGCACCTGTTTGAGCGGTGACACGTGCGGGTCACACCAGGAGGAATGACCTCTGGCCCCCGGCCCACCAGCGATTTTGCGGCTGTTTGGGCTCTAGTCCTGCTTCGTCAGCACTGTCCCCAGACTGCTCTGATGGGGCAGGTCCCTCTCTCTGAGTAGAAGTTTAGTAAGCGCCCCGATGGCCCGCGCAGGAGACAGGAGGTACTAACTAATACTTGCCCGAGACATCAGCTACTTGGCCCATGATGTCTCGTGCTGGGGACATGACAGCCGCCGTCGCACAAACCTCCCTTTCAGGCTACGGTGACACAGTACACATTAGTTTCTGCTGAACCGTCCAGGGTGCATATTCCTGGTCACCAGGTAGTTTAGCCGCCTTCCGGTGTGGGCTTGGCCACGGAATCCTCTGTAAAGAGAGAGCAGAGAATTCCTCTGTGCTTCTTAAAAGTACCAGCCAGAGGGGACTTGTACGCACATCCCACTGGTGACAGGGTCATCTCTGGATGAGAAGGGGCTGGGAAAAGATGTCCTGGGTCGGGCGAGGGCCCCTCCCACCTCCGATGGGAAAGTACTGGCTTACTGTGGACAGCTGGCGCTCTGTGTCGCTCTCTGCCCTTGGGTCTGTCCCTCTCTTCATCTTGTTTCTCTCCCTCTTGCTTTTCTCTGTGCTTCTGGATCTTGTACAGGTCATTGTGGTGGATTCTCGCCCACCGGAATCCCCAGATGGGTCCAGGTGCCTGATGGAGTCATTTACGCCACGATCACCTTGGGTACTGCCTGTCCCCAGAGCTGAATGCCAGTGATGCGGTGTCTGCTGCGTGGCTCTCAGAGAGCACGATGCATGCCCCGAGGGTGGCCTCTCGCCCCTCCCTGGCCTCGTGCATGGGCCCTGCATGTGCACGGCGCGTGTCATCCTTTCGGAAGGGGAGACTCACTCTGCCTTCCACAGATGGCACCGGCGTGCGTGGGTGAAGGACCGGAGCGCCGCGGGCTGGTTCTGCCCTCTGTTCCCGGGGACCCTGCAGCAGCATGTGCTGGGGCGCAGAAAGGGGGCGGGGTTACCCGAGCATCCTACCTTTCATGCCTCCTTGTCCTGTGACCCCTGGAAGCCACATACCTGTTTTAAGACTGCCCTACGTTCACGGCCGTGTTATGGTCGCCCTTAGGGATAAATGAAGTTACAGTCCATTTGCCCCAAGTTTCCCCAATGCTGCTCCAGGCGGTTCCTTCTCAGCTTCCCCAGAGCCCCCTGGAGTGGACGGGCTGGTGTTAGAATTCTCCACGGAACATCTGGGGGGCTCCAGAAGCGCTCGGTGGCCTCCCTCTATTAATTTTTGCTACTGAAGGAGGCACTGTATCATTCCCATTTCGCTTATTGTACAGATAATAATATAGTGACAATGAGGACTTTTTTTTTTTTTCTAAATCACCCTGGTCCTACCACCTGATCAAATCAGCTACCTTGAGCTCTCCCTGTTGCCTTCCAGTACCGAGCAGTGGGTACCTAAGCTCGCCCATATAATTTGAATTGGGCCTTCTCACTTAAATCCTGTTTACTGGGCTGAGAACTAGCCCAGTAAACAATCCCTGCCCCTGTCACATGGCATGCTTCAGAGTGGATATGAGGGTGCCTGCCCCGGCCCCCACCCCCGCTCCCCTTCCGCTAACTCTAAATGGCACTGGAATTAATATCTTGATGCATGGAACCTCCCCCATCCCCTGCTTCTTTTTTTTTCTTTTCTTTTTTTTTTTTTAACTAGTTTCCTAGGATCAACTCCCAGGACTGGGATTATGGGGTCAAAGGGTAGGGTGTTTTTATGGTTCTCAAAACGACATGCTGCCAGCTTGTTTTCTGAGAGGCCCGTGTTCCCCTATGTTCCTACCCAGCTCTCCCGTTGGCTATGCCACCGTTTTCAATCTTTGCTTCTTTAATAGGTATGAAATTATGAACCGTGCAACATTTTTTAGGCTGTGAAGGGGAGTAGGGCCACACTGCTTTTAGAGAAAGCTGATATTACAATATTGACAGCGTTATTTTTAGAAATAGTAAAGCACATTTTCATTGGCATTGGAGCTAGAATAACTGTGGCCATGGCATCATTCTGTTTTTCTATATTTTAATTCAGAGGTGGTTCAGTTTTCCTAGTACGTAGGACCCCGGCTATGTAGATAGCAGAAGGGGCTTCTGCAGCAGGGAAGGCTAAGGCCCCATGGGCTGACTTTTTTCCAATGGGGTTGAGGGGGAGGGTAGAGGAGATGCATTCACCATGACTCAAGGGCCCAGAGCCTGTCTGTAGAAGTCCCGGGGGAGTAGATGGTGGCCTGACTTTCTGTTATCGTTATACCCAGTCATAGAAGGAAGTATCCAGTGCTCAGTAGATAGTGAGCTCCCCGTCCAGGGGGGAAATCAAGGAGAGGCTGGTGCAGCACCAGGATTCCAAAAGACAGGATTTGTGTGTTGAGGAGAGATTGGACCAGGGGTACTGAGGTTCTCTTTTCTTTGTGTCCTGTTTTTTGGGGTTTTACTTTTTTCTTCACCTAGTTTGTGTTGATCTTGAATAGCACAGAGAGGCCTAGAGAACAAAGCAACTCTCGCAGGATACGAGGGGGAAGGACAGAAACCGAGGCACGTGGAGCGTGTACAGAATTGAACATGGTTTGTGCTTGGTGAGCTTCGAGATTCTCTTGAACGGAACACACGTATGAGGCTGGCTGGTCACCAGAGGTGGAAGAAGGGTAGAAAATGGAAGCCAGCAGAAGGGGCTGTCTGTGCAGGGAGGGGTGCAGGGGGGCGGGGGAGAGCGAGCAGAGTCTGGGGAGGCTGGAAGTGAGTTTGGAAAAGAGCTGTGACGGGGACGGCCGGCCTTCCCCACAGAGCCATTTCCTGCTGTGGTTTCCTTCACCCTAAGAATCTGTAGCCCACCCCACCCCCACCCCCTGCCACTCCAGGGCAAGACCGGGGACAGAGAAGGCCCAGCTGGGCAGGAGGCTGGTGGAGGCTCAGGTGGTGAGCCCTTCCCGCGGCCCCTTAGAATGCCTGGTGTGAGGCCCACCCCTGCTTCATCCTTTAGGTGAGGAAACAGGCCCCGAGGGTGGGCAGTGGACTCATGAAGTGTGAAAGTCGCCTTGTGGGCAGTGTCTTATCAGAGGTTTCTGTGGAATCCGGGAGGACGGACTGGAGGAGGAAAAGGGAGAGACTCCTGGTTTTAGTTATGTGTGTCTGTGGCCAGAAACAGCATCCGGGAAGCTTCGCTGAGGACATTTGGGGCCCAGGCCTGCCCAGGTCTGTGGTTGGTGGCTGTCAGGCTGGTTCACGGGCACAGAGAGGCGGGTGGGTTGTGGCCTGGAGGCCCCTGGCTGCCCAGCCTGCCTCCCTCCCTTCTGGACAAAGCGCGTTTGGAATGTCCCCTCCCTGCTGGGTCCGTGACCGCGTGGGTCTTCCTTGCAGAGGACGGGGAGGCGGTGAGCAGCTCCTACGAGTCCTATGATGAAGAGGAGAACAGCAAGGGCAAGTCAGCCCCTTACCAGTGGCCGTCGCCCGAGGCCAGCATCGAGCTGATGCGCGACGCCCGCATCTGTGCCTTCCTGTGGCGCAAGAAGTGGCTTGGGCAGTGGGCCAAGCAGCTGTGCGTCATCAAGGACACCAGGCTCCTGGTCAGTGGGCCTCTTGTTGTATTCCGGGCTTTTCTCTTTGTGGGGGGAGTGGGGGAGATGGACCCCAATACCAGGCAGTCAGAGCCTTTTTTATCCGAAGGTTTTCTCCACCTCCTAACCTGAAGTCGTGTGCAGAACTTTATGTGCGCGAATGCATGTGCCTTCTCTCAGCTAAAACTGTCTAGTAGTCTTCGTCCGTCATCCGGAGTGGGGGGGGGGCGGCTGGGATTACCGCCCCCTGGACCCCCCCCCCCAATCCCATAGATGTTTCCCAGGAATCTTGTCCCCTGGGCCTGAGGGCTCCTTCCTCATGTCCCGACCCCGCCCTGCGGCACAGTCAGGACTCCCGCAGCCCCAGTTCTGGCTACTGCACTCGTCTGTGCAGCGCTACAAAAGGCATCTTCTCGGAAGTCACAGTGTTTTGAATTACTAGTTATAAGACGAAACCGATAAAGAACTCAGAAGCTAGTACTCAGACCACAGCCCTGTTTCCTGTGATTCTAAATTGAAATTCACAGTTTTCTGTCCTAATTTGAAGTTCCTTGGAATCCTCATAAGCACCTTTAATTCCCCACTCACAACACGCCTGATTCCGTATAGGTGCTCTTCCTGGTAAGCCGTTCAGCGGCCCTGTGAGGATGCCCTTTATACCTGGGACAGACTGAGGGGCAGAGTATTTTCGGAAGGGAAGCAAGTCCCTGTGTTTTTTCACTAACAAATCGTTCTCTAAACTCAGCAGATCCAAAGCTTAGTCTTGCTTCCCGATGGCCCCTTCCTGAGGGTGCTAAGCAAGAAATGTAGACAGGCGGGGAAATGAGTGAGTCCGGCCAGACATCTGGCTACAGAGGATGTTTTTAGGGGCTCGCTGAGGTCTACAGGGACCTTTGAGCAGCATGGATAAGCGGGGTCTGGGGCATCCCTGGGCGAGGCTGGTAAGGAGGAGGCGCATGGGAGGGGGACAGTCTGCCTGGCACTTTGATGCTGAGAACAAGAGCTGCTGACATGTGAGGCCACATTTCTGCATCCCTCATTTTGCCGGGGACAGCCCAGCTCCCGGGGGTCCCGCTGGGCCAGCGGCCTCTCGGCTGCAGAAGCCGGCTGGGTCTGGCAAAGCTGCAAGCATCTCTCTTCCCTCCTAGTGCTACAAATCGTCCAAGGACCACAGCCCTCAGCTGGACGTGAACTTGGTGGGCAGCAGCGTCATCCACAAGGAGAAGCAAGTGCGGAAGAAGGAGCACAAGCTGAAGATCACACCCATGAATGCCGACGTGATCGTGCTTGGCCTGCAGAGCCGGGACCAAGCAGAGCAGTGGCTCAGGGTGAGGGTGGCATCAGGCCGCCGGGGACACGGGTCTGCTCCCCTGCGAGGCTCCCTGGGGGCTCCTCAGTTCTGCCTCCCTGACCTGTTCTAAACCGGATGGCCATTGTGGAGGGTAAAGGATCTGGAGTCCTTCAAATTCCCAGGGCTTCCGTGTTCCAAGTGGTACTGCTCATTCGGAGTGAAGGGATCACCGCACTCTGCTGCTGGGCCTGGAGCTGGGCCCTGGGGGACACCTGTTTGCCTTTTGGCCTCTAGAGGCACCATCAGCCTCCTTACTGAAGAACAGACAGCACTGCCACGTGTAAAGTACTTATGCACTCTTGGCAAACTTAACCCACCTAACCACACTGGGGGCCGTGGGGGGCGGGCTGGGTGATGTTAATACTGCCATTTTACAGGGCAGTGATTAAGGCTCAGAGGGAGGAGGTGACCAGTCAAGGTCACCTGGCCAGTGAGTGGCAGCATTGGGTTCAGACCTGGTGCTATGTGACTGCAGCCCTGTGTTCTACCATCACAAATGGCCTTGGTCACTTCGGCCTACAGACACACGCATAGCTCCCAGTGCTGATGAAGCCTGGTTTGCCCCATATGAAAGATAAGCTTGACGATTCCAGAAGGTAGGAGGTTTGCACCAAGAAGGGGCCCACAGCTGCAGAGGGATCTCTAGACCCAGCAGGGCCCCTGGTGAGACTAGAACCAGAGAGGTCCATCCGTCTGTCTGTCTGGCCGTCCCTCCCTCCCTCCCTTCTTCCCCCTTCCTTCCCAACTTTCCTCCCTCCCTTCCTTCCCTCCTTCTCTCCTTCCCCTCCCTTCACCACTTCCCTCCCTTCTTCCCCCCTCCTCCCTCCCTCCTTCCTCCCTTCTTCCTTCCTCCTTCCCTCTCCCCCCCTTCCTTCTCTTCTTCCTTCACTCCTTCCTTCGCTCCTTCCCTCACTCCTTCATTCTTTCCTCCTTCCCTCTTTCCTCTCCCCCTCCCTCCTTCCTTCCTTCCCTCCCCACCTCCTCCATCAAGGCCACACTGATGCATGTCCAGTATAGGGACACTCACCATATCTGCCCTCTACCCCAACCCACACATGTACATACACACAGTTACTTACGTGCACACACACTTGCAGATATACACACAAATACTTGAATGCACACACACACACACACACACACACACACACTCCCTGCTCCCAGGTCCCAGTCTGTTCCTCTGACCACTCCCACTCACCTGCCCTTCCTCTGACCCCAGCTTCCCTCCCGCCTCCCATGCCCACATCTTCAGACCCTTGCTGGTGGTTTCAAAGCCAAGAACACTTTCAGAAGGCACAGCCTCTTCTGTGGGCCTTCACCGAGGCCCTTCCCCTCCCTGGGCAGGTGAGCACAGAGGTGGGCCTGGCTGTGGGGACAGTATGTGGTGTGAATGGGAAATGCTGATATGGGATGAGAACCCCAGAAAAGGAAAGCACAAGGCAGGGCTCCCCCAGAGAAGCCCTTGAGCCTGGACTCCAGGCTTAGCACACTTCCCCTGCGAAGGGAGCCCGCGTATCCAGGCCCCAGCTAACGAGGACGGTAATGAACGTGCCCGGCCTGTGCCAAGTCCTTTACCGAGTCCTCACAGCCACCCGGTGGCGTAGGTGGCATCGCATCCTACAGACGTGGTGACTGAAGCTCAGGCCCAAGGTCATGCAGCTAGACTGACTCCAGTGCCACCCTCTTCCCACAGCACCGTGTCGCATGTTTAGCCCGCCGTGTAGACCAAGGTGTCGAACCGGGAGTCCATCTGAGAAGCGAGAAATGCCATATATTCCCCCGTCCCCACAGCCCTTCTTCCTTTTGTTCTTTGGCTTTTCTGATTTTGAACTTGTATCTATAAACTGCTCTAAGCAGAGACTGAAGAAGGAGGGTCTTTGTCTCTGCTCTTGCGAGCCCAGAGGGCTCAGGACGGAATGGGTGGTGTGTTTGTGGCTGCCCTGGGCTCCTACCCTCTGGGAGTCCTCCAGGCGGCTCCAGGCTCAGAACGGCTCAGAACGGGTCTGAGTGTGGCGAGAGCCACCTCTGACCGGGCTCCCCCCAGCTCAGGCCCCTGGGTGCGTCCTTCCGGGGGACAGTGGGGTGGACTGTGACAGTGAGTTGGGATGGAGAGCCAGTGCTGGGCCAAGGGCATTGGGGACCCTGCTTCCTGAGCAGCGTGGAGGCTGTCCTCAGCAGGCTCCATGGCTCCTGAAAGCCCGGGGACAGGTGCAGTTCTTCATCAGCCCCACAACTGAACAGCCCTCCGCACCCGGGAAGAGGGCAGGGAGGGGGCTCACAGGGCTGAGGGCTGGCGGCTTGGGCCATCCTTAGGCTTTGCTATAAAGTGGCCACCATCAGAACACGGGGGGGGGGGGTCTTCAGGAGGTGGGCCTGCGGACAAGCCTCCCCCACCACAGTCCCCCCAGTCGTAGGCCAGGTGCTGGGGGGTGAGACGCGGGGTCTCGTTCACGCATCTCCCCTCCCCCCTCCCCCCAGTCCCCTGACCTCAGGGGGCACCGGCATCGGTCTGGCTGCCAGTACAGGCCTGGCTAGGGCTCCACTGACGGCTTCCCCTTCCTTCAGGTCATCCAGGAGGTGAGCGGCCTGCCTTCAGAAGGAGCGTCCGAGGGCAATCAGTACACCCCAGATGCCCAGCGCCCCAACTGCCTGAAAGTAAGCCTCTGTCCTGCCTGGGGGAGGGTTCAGTTCGGCTTTTCCTCTGTAAACATCACAAGCATGAGACGGATCTTTGCTTTTGCACTTCAGCCCCGTTAGTAGGAAACGTACAATGCTCGGATGAGGGCAGTACTTCCCAGGTTGGCAGGAAAACTGAGGAAGTTGATATAAACCTGAAATACTTTCTCGCTCGGGTGCAGGAAGCCTGATGGGAACAAAGGTCAGCGTGCCCTCCTTTCTTAATCAGGGAAATTCGTTCTCCGAGGTCCTTGTTTTGCATCTACTTACAGTAGAGCTTCGGGGCTGGGAGAACCTGCCCGTGTTGATTCCAGCCCAAGGGCTCTGTTGCTCTTTTGCACGGAGCCGTGGGGCCCTTGCTTAAGGGCCAGAGTTGAAGAAGTCGGGCCAGGTGCTAGCCTAGGCGCAGGCCGTCACCTGAGGCTTCACATTCTGTGTCCCCAAGTATCTACACGTGGGTGCCCCGAAGCGTGGGTGTGCCCAGAGCCGTGTCCCTGGGTCTCACCCTGGGCCGCCCTGCCCTGGCAGGGGAGAAGGCAGAGGGCTCACAGATGGGGAGGAGGCATTCTGTTCATCAGGAAGGCACAGGCCATTCCTCACGGAGCTCCCTGGCCATGTGTGTCAATCCTTGAGCCACCGCCTGAGGCCAGTCCTATTGTTTGGGAGTCAGCCTGTTACACAGGGGTCTGGAGGAAGTCGTTCTGTGGGAGCAGCTTGGCTGGAATATTCGAATGCTTCACATTCTAACAGCAGCAGCAGCTACCACACCCTTCTGGAAAGTGTCTAGTCGCCCAACAGCCCCGGGGTTGTAGATGGGAATGTTATCCGTATTCAAACACAGGCACAGCAGGGAGAGAGGCTTGTAAGTCAAGCACCTGGCCTGGATGGAGAGTTCTCCAGCTGGGGTTCAAATCATGGTCTGACCGTGTGCAGACAAGCTGGCCCTTCCCTGAAGCCTGATGTGTTAGTAGCACAGTCCATTCTTTTTATTTCTTTTGAGAGTGAGAGAGTGTGAGCTGGGGAAGGGGCAGAAAGGGAGGGAGAGACAATCCCAAGAAGGCTCCCTGCTGTCAGCACAGGGCCCAATGCGGGGCTTGAACTCATGAACCATTAGATCATGACCTGAGCCAAAGTCAGATGCTCAACTACCTGAGGCACCCAGGCGCCGCCACACAGTCAGTTCTTAAAAGCCTTTCTCACACTCCTGTCTGGATAGTTCCCAGCCTGATGGGAGGCTTCAGCTGTCAACTCTAATGGCCCAGAGCTGGCCACCTGCACTTCACGCTGGCCACAGGGCCGCCTTTACATCAAGTTCAATAGCATTGTGAGAACTTGTGAATTTGGATGTGTGGTGGCCTGAAGCAGAGGAGGGTCTGGGATGGGACAGGGACAGGGAAGGTGAAGGCACGTCCCCCAGAAAGCCCGAGGAATGTGTGACCAGTGTCCCATCGGTGACCTACGCTCCACAGTAATCTCTAGCGTACACCGAAAAGTTATCTATTAGTGGGGCACCTGGGTGGCTTAGTCGGTTAAGCGTCCGACTTTCGCTTAGGTCATGGTCTCGCGGTTCGTGGGTTCGAGCCCCGCGTCAGGCTCTGTGCTGACTGCCGGCTCAGAGCCTGGAGCCTATTTCAGAGTCTGTATCTCCCTCTCTCTCTGACCCTCCCCTGCTCACGCTGTCTCTCTCTCTCTCCTAGAAATAAATAAAAATATTAAAAAAAAAAAGTTATCTATTAGTTTCCCTTCAGTTGTGATCCCCAAGGTAATCATTCTTAGACAGACTCACTCACTTGTCTCCCTCTTTTCCACAGCTAGATGTAACAGAGAAGTACCTGTCGGCCCCGGAATATGGGAGCTCAGTAGATGGCCACCCTGAGGTCCCAGAGGCCAAAGATGGTACCGACCGCTCGTGGCTCTCAGCCTAGGCCGGGAGGGGGATGGGCTCCCACGCTGGGAGATGCGGCTGCCTGGCTCAACCCTAATGGGTTTTAACACCCGCTTCCAACACACCTCGAGCTTATAAACTGCCTGGAAATAATACAGCTGATAAATCCAGGAAAAAGAGAGACAGAGAGAGAGATGACCTAATTGAGGTCAGGTTTCCTGAATTGCTGGGGTTGGAATATTCTTGCATCTCTCTTGTTTGCTACCCCTGGACCCAGTCTCTCTGAGCCAACAGTCTGTGAAGATTCTCAAGGGCTGACCTGTTCTGTACGAGGAGCTGGTGTGCCCCCTCTCGGGTGTGTGATTCTAGGGATACCTGACTGTGGACTGTGGGTCCTAGTTTGGGGCAGCAGACGTGTGTGTGCGTGCATTCGCTTGTGTGCCCGCGTGCAGGGGGGGCAGAGGGATCGGGGACGGGTCTGCTCTTCTGTCTTCCATCAGGACACCTCGGTGGGCTGCGTGCCATGCTGATGGCTTTTTCTCTCCTCCTGACAGTCAAGAAGAAATGTTCTGCTGGCCTCAAACTGAGCAACCTAATGAATCTGGGCAGGAAGAAGTCTACCTCGCTGGAGCCTGCAGACAGGTCCCTCGAGACGTCCAGTAAGAACCGCAGCCCTGCGCCTGCCCCACAGCAGCAGCGGGCGCACCCCCGGGCCGAGCCCGTCTCCAGGAAGGCCGCCCTTCTGGCCCAGGCAGAGACGTTAGGTCTTGCTTTAAATAAGTCTCCAGGGATGGCAAACGTGTCGCTCCCGTTTCTGTTTACCTTTAGTGCAGGCCGTTTGTTATGCATAACCAGCCTCGTGGCTGCAGTGCTGGGTCCTCTGCGGAAGTGACTGGCAATTGATTGCTGTCTTCCCAGTGCTCTTTGAAAAGTTATGTTCATTTGACCAGTATTGAAGGAGCATGGGAAGCAGTGCTCAGCCAGGCAGAGGGAGGACGCAGCCCAGGAGTGACGGTGGCTTCAGACCCCAAAGCCACACGCTGTGTCACCGTCAGAGCTGTAGGGACTCCGGGAAAGAGCCTGAGCCCTGAAGGGCGGGCAGGAGCTAAACGGGCTGAGATGGCGTCCTTGGGCACGAGCAAGGATTCCGAGATGGGGACAGTGAGATCCATTAAGGGGACGACAGAAGGGAACAGGGGGTGTGGGTGCTGCTACGCTCCTGGAGGTCATCTACTCCCCTCACTCACCCTTGAGGAAACTGAGGCTTTCCCAGAAACCATCCTGGGCGAGCCCGTGTCCTGGTTCCCAGCCTGGGACTCACTGCGACAGCTCTTCCTGGGGCCCAAAGGCCATTACGATCCACCTTTAGGCCTTTTCCTCTTCCTCCAGGACCCTATGTCCCATCCCTGGGCCCGAGGATTGTAGGTTTTGAGGTTGGTGGGTGGGACAGGAAATCAGCCGGTGGGGCCTCACCTTGGAGTGCCTTGCCTCTCTGGCCACGGCACCAGGTGGTGGCCCAGCTCCGCCAACCCCTGCGGTGTCAGGGTGAGAGTGTCGGGCACGGGAGCCTGGTCTCAGCGAGTCACGGGGAGATGTGGCTGGATGATTATAGGAAGTCCCTTCAGGAGGGAAGCCTGCTCCTGTCCCCTGTGGCTAGGGATGGGTGCCAGGCCACACAGCCAGTCCCCTTCTCAAGACTTGGCATCTGGGCTCCCTGCTGTCTCAGTGCAGGGTTCTCTCTGGTCCAGGAAACTGTGATAGGCAAGTAGGGCACTTCCTGGATGATCCAGAATCCGTAGGTCTTGGCCTCGGGTTCTTCCACTTTGCTAGGGTTCGTATGGCCCGAGGACCTCGTGATCCCCGCTGTAGAGCCAGCACTGGGTGGGCGGGAAGGTGGCCGTGCCCCATGACCTGCCGCGTGGCTTAGTTCAGCCCGGTTGAGGCTCAGACAATTGCCAATGCTCTAGAATGGAGGAGGCCTTGGCTCGGAAAGCCAGTCCCTCTGGGAAAGCGAGCAGCCCCACAAGCCGTCCGTGCACTGCCCGTGGGCTGTGCAGAGGGGCCTGAGGACTGGATTTTACCCGTCTTTGTGGCCCCGGGGACAAGGCTGTGCTTGGCACATGGTGTCGGCTCTGTAAATGTTCATCACAGGGCAGGGGGAAGGCGTGTCCTCTCCTTAGGAAGCTGAGCCTAATACATGCAACCGTGGAGGACAAGAAAGGTTTGCAGGATGGATGGCACCCTGGTGCCGGCTGCCTCTGCTGGCCCACAGGGGGAGGGGCCCCCTGGTGATGAGGCCACAGAGCACGTGCCCTGGGCGCTGGAGGTGAAGGTGGTGAAGTCCTGCCCTTTAGAAGCCCTGTGTCCCCTCGGGGAGGCTGACATGGAAGCAGGCCTCACTGGTCTGGGACCCAGGGGAGTGCGGGACCGAGGCGGGGCCCAGCGAGGCCAGCTGCACTGGGGAGAGTGAGAGGGCGCCGGCCGAGGGGAGGAGGACCTTGCAGCCCAGGCCGGGTGACCCAGCGGTGGAATGGCTGTCCGTCAGGGATGACGACGAAACTAGAGGTCAGCGCGTTGACGGCAGCCGCAGCGGGGCAGCCCTGCCCGGGGACCTTCCCGCACACGGCCTAAGTGACCAGCGGTGGTGTGGGGGCACACGCACGCCCCCCCACCCCCGCTCTAGTCAACAACACGGCTCGCTGCCCTCGGGCAAGACCTGCAGAATGCGGCCCCCGTGCACGGGCTCCAGCTGCGTGCACGGGGGCAGGGAAAAAAACCCCTGAGAGCCACGGCCTCGCCGGGGTCAGAAAGCTCCTCGGGCAAAGCGTGACATGTGTCTCGGAACTGAGATTCCAGGGGAGCTTCTCGGAGGCCCAGAGGTGGGGGCAGCTACTGACACCTTGCTCCCTCCGGCAGGTTACCTGAACGTGCTGGTCAACAGCCAGTGGAAGTCACGCTGGTGCTCTGTCAGGGACAGTCACCTGCACTTCTACCAGGACCGGAACCGGAGCAAGGTGGCCCAGCAGCCCGTCAGCCTGCTGGGCTGTGAGGTGGTCCCAGACCCGAGCCCTGACCACCTCTACTCCTTCCGCATCCTGCACCACGGCGAGGAGCTGGCCAAGCTCGAGGTACCGCTGGCCTGCTGGGGGGGGGGGGGGGGGGGGGGGGGGGGGGGGAGGGGGGAGGGACTGTGGCTGTTTGCTGCGCTCGCAGACGGTCATCATGCAGTTGGGGACGCAGCCTAGCCCTGCGTTATTTTTACTCCCTTGCATTTTCTTTGCGCTTAAAAAAAATTGTCTACTCCCTTTCTGACCTCAGAGTGGTTGTGTTATAGGAAAGGGACAATGAGTTACTTCCTGTACCGAGGGCAGGAGGAGTATTTATAACTCCCTGAGCTGCTTGACAAACCTTCAGGGGATTCACAGTGGGTTTGATTCGGTTTGTGTATCACCAGATGGGGCCCCATACATAAAGCTGACGACTGTTAGGGCTTATCTGGAGGAAGAACAAGGCTTGTGAGACATTTTCTCCCACTCCCCACCCTCTGTGTGATGCGCTGTTATATTTACCAAAAAAAAAAAAAAAAAAAGAGGTGACCTCATGCCTTGCACTGAGCAGGGGCAGGTCTGAGCCAGAGTTCTTAACGGGCAGAGAAACCCACTCCGCGGTTCACCCCTGTTCACCCCCGTCCTTCACTCAAGGGGTCTTCATCCAGATTGTGCTCCCATACTGCCCTCTGGTGGCTAAAAGCACCACATCCCAGTTGTTTCCTGGGGACAAGCATGCATGTGTCCACCCGTCTGTCCCGTTGATGGATATCCACGTGGTACAGTTATACAGTGAACAAGACAGATACGCTCCCTGCCATAGAACTTGGATTCTAGTGTGAGACTGAGGTGTTATTCGACGAAGTACCCAGTGGATTACTTATAGTTGCTGGAAAGCCATTGGTGGGGGAGGGGGCCGCTGTGACCTGTGCCTGCCTGCTGGGAGCTGGGGAGTGTGTGTGTTGACCCTCAGGTACAACCATTAGCATACAAGGGGACACCCTGGAGGGTTCCAGGGGAGGGCGGCATGCTCTGATTTGGATTTTGAGATGCCTCCTTCAGCAGCTGGCTGGGGGACGGATGGAAGGGGCGCAGGAAGGGACAAAATGGGACCAGTTAGGGAGTTGTTAGTGGCCCGGAGCGGAGAGGGCGGGAGCTGGCTGGAGGATGGCCGTGCAGAGCTGTACTGAAAACTTCCCTTGCAAAGGATGGGAAAGAAAGCTGGCACCGTGCCTGACTTGGCCCATCACTGCCTCCCTGACACATGTAGTAACGAGGAGGCAGGACCATGTTGTATGTCCACGAGGTAGCTGTGCTTCCTCATGAAAGTAATCCTGTAATATTTCTAGAATTCCCAACCTTTATCATTAAAAAGCCAAGAAGCAACGTTGGGATTTTAAGAGAGACCCGGTGTATGTATTTGATTAGAATGCACTATCCCCAGGGGGAAAAAAAACAGGCTCCAACTTCACTGGGATTTATTGAGTTCATCATTTATCAGAGCCAGTTGACCTGGGGTAAAGGTATTTAAGAGAACCTTTCTCGAAAGACTGTATTAGAACTGGAAACGAAATTTGAATTTTGTTCTTTCTTAGGGATTCGGTCTTGTATGGATGGATTAGGGTGATAAACTGCCGTGTAATCATTTATAAAAGAGAGGTGTTGACCTAAAATGCAGATGGTGTTAATCATTCTCTCCTGGCTCATTGGCCTTCTAGAAATACATGTATATGAATCACATTTGAAATTCGGGACAAATGTCCACAGCATCACTGAGATGGCATCAAGGTATCCCCAGTGGCAGGAATTATTATTTGGAGTCACGGGATGACAGAAGCTAGTGGGAAGGAGGGAGCATGGCCTCCCCCCCTGAGAGGCCCTGCCCAGCTGGGCATCAGGGCAGCGGTGCTACTGGCCCGGCCGGGAGGGTGGGCCACCAGACGACACACTGCAGCGCTGCTCACGTCCCTGTCGCCTCCTCCCAGGCCAAGTCTTCCGAGGAAATGGGCCACTGGCTAGGCCTCCTGCTCTCTGAGTCGGGCTCCAAGACAGACCCGGAAGAATTCACCTACGACTACGTGGATGCCGACAGGGTGTCCTGTATTGTGAGTGCAGCCAAGACCTCTCTGCTGTGAGTATTACGGGGCCTTCTGCTTCGCACTTTCCTGTTCCCATCCACGCGTCGAGACTGGGGCCCAGACTGGCCCCTGGTGGCTCTGTTCAGCCACGCAGGGCGGCAGCCAACTCGGGGTCGGCCCCTGTCCGGCAGCAGAAGCCCGGGGCCCCGGGAGCAGCCGAGAGCTCGGAGCTGGGCCAGACCTGGGTCCAGGGGCAGCCATGCACCCTTGGCCTGGATGGATGCTCTCCAGCTCCTTACAGAAGAGTCGGAGCCCTTCCTGACCTTCCGTTTTCCTTGTTGGGGACTCAGCAACTTCGTCCTGGCCCCCTGCTGGGATAGGCTCCCTCTGTAGTAAGCAGGGTGCATTCTCCTGCTTTCCCCACGAGCAGGCTGGGCTCGAGGAGAAGTGGTCCTGGGTCAGGGTGCTGAGGTGGCTCTGGCGGGAGCTGGCCCCACCGCTGCCACGGGATCCATTCTCCTGGGTACAGAAAGCAGGGAGTAGCTGGCCTGGGCTGCTGTCATGAGTCCTCTGAGGTGGGTGGCCACCTGCCCTTCCTCTCGCTGTTATCTTGCCGGGTCTTCCAGGCTGATGCAGAGGAAGTTCTCAGAGCCCAACACTTACATCGATGGCCTGCCCAGCCAGGACCGCCACGAGATGCTGTATGATGATGTGGAGGTGTCGGAGCTGACGGCCGTGGTAAGGACTCAGGCTGGGCTCTCCCCGCCCCCCCAACCTCAGTGCCGGAGGCCGGCAGCTTGTCCCGAAGATGGGCGGGCTCGCGGCCACCTCCCGTGTGCCAGAAGTCAGTGCCATAAGGCCATCTTCTGTGCAGCACACCTGCGTGGGGACGTGGATCACTAAAGCAGCTGGCTAACCACCCCGGTCAGGATGAGGGAAGGGAGGAGTGGTGCCGGGATCAGGAACAGCCACACCATTAACCTCCAAGGCCCAAACCGATAGCGAATAGTCACAGGGACGGCCGGTTCTGTTCACTGGGCACCAGACTCTGCTGTGCTAAGGGCTTCTGTGGATTCTCACCGAATCCTAACCGCCTGGTCAGAGGCACTGGTCCCTTCTCTACAGAGGAGGAAAGGAGGTTCAGGAACGGCAAGTACCATGTCCTGGGTCTCCCACCTCCTGAATGGCAAATCCAGGCCTCTGACCTTGGCCTTTCAAGTCCAGCTCAATGGAAACTTCCCAGGAAGCAGGTCTGATGCCCCCTCCACAGCCCGGGGAGCGGAGGCAATGGTGAAAGCCATCTGGCTCTCTCTCCTCGGCAGGTGGAAACGCTCGGGGAAGCCGCCCCTGTGACAGATTCTCCGAGCGAGACCCAGCCTGACCGAGTGTACCTGGACCTCACACCTGTGAAGTCCTTCCTGCACAGCCCTAGCAGCGCTGAGGCTCTCCCTGCGGACCCAGGCCCTGCCCCAGAGGAGCCTCCTGAGAACCCCGAGTTGCAGGTAAGACTGTCCGCCAGCAAGTGGGCCGACCTCACCCTCGCAGCCCCTGGGCCGGCTGAGCCGTGTTCGCCTTCTCCCAAAGCAGACACACCAGGAGAGTCCGGAGCCTGAAGAGCCTTCCCTGAGACTCACGACAGTCAAAATCCAGACCGAACAGCAAAAAATCTCCTTCCCGTCGAGCTCCCCCGATACCGCGGCCGTCACCCCGGCTGGGGCCAGCCCGCCTGTGAAGGACAAGCTGAGGGTGACCACTGCAGGTGCCTGTGCTAGCTAAGACTAGAATGTTGTAGAAACGGCTTGCAGAAGCTAGTCCAGTTCCTTCCCTTTCAGACGAGGAAGCAGAGGTTCAGAGAGGGGAAGGGACTTGGCCAAAGTCACACAGCAAAGAAAGCGTGGGCCCAATTTTCTGGTCTGTCGCTGCCAGGCTGGGTGGTGTCTAGGCCTGCACGGTGGGTTGGGATGGCTCTTGTGTCCCAGCCTGGCTGACCTGGGGGTTCCCCTCTGTGGGTCTTGTAGAAATCAAACTGGGCAAGAACAGGACAGAAGCCGAGGTGAAGCGGTACACAGAGGAGAAGGAGAGGCTCGAGAAGAAGAAGGAAGAAATCCGGGGGCACCTGGCACAGCTCCGGAAAGAGAAACGGGAGCTGAGAGAGACCCTGTTAAAATGCACAGGTAAGGGTCCCCCCACCCCCCGGCAGAGGGCCTCAGGCTTCCCCGGGGAAGAATCTGGATCTGTGCACCTGGCCTACGGATTTTTAGGATCCGTACAGATCTGTCCATGTTTAGCACCCACACTCATCAAGCAGTCACTCCCTCTTTTTCCCCCAACCCTCCGGTCCCTAGGCAGCCCCTAATCTATCAGTCTGTGCTACTGGTTTTAGAAGTCCAGTGGCCTTGACCACTAGTGCACACAGGCGAGCAGACAGGAGCTGGCTTTCCTGCAGAGCTGGGACGTGCGTGACCAGAGGCTCAGCGGCGACAGTCCTTGCAAACCTGGAGAGCGAGCTGGGCTGTGAGGCAGAGCCAGGGTCCCCCGCCCTTTCTCCCCTTGGGGGACTGTCTGGGTGGAAGACTTTCAGTATAATTTATCCTCCTGGCAAATAAGCCCTAAAGACCCAAGGCTAATAAGCCACAGACCTCAAGAAAGCAGTTCTCAAAGTATTGATACTCACCGCTAATGAGGACTCCAGTTCCAAAAACATCATTAACATTTTTCTCCATGGATTTTTCTTAAATGGTGGCCCCTGTGACTGCTTGTCCTCTGACAAGGGCTGGCAGGTGGCTGCTCACCCTAGGCTTGGAAACAGAGCTAAGTTATTCCAGCGGCTGCTGGCTCGGGGCTGTCTGTTGAACAATCAGGGCACCATTGCTTCCCTTAGCTGTGAGCTCCGGGCCACCAGCATTTCTTCGTGCTACGGCACCAACCTGAGAACTCCAGGGTGAGAATAAAACAGGACTGAGAAAGAGCCAGGGCTGGGGACCGCCACTCCGATCGGCTTAGGGAAGCCCTGAGTGCCAGAAGGATTGAGGGGACTCTGTGGGGCAGGTGGAAACCGCACAGCCATCCTCCAAGAGTCAGAAATAAAGCTGCTCTCCCTCCCTGTGCGGTTGCTGCAACAATAGCAGGTATCAAAACTGAGGGCCCCTGAGAACCTACCAGAAGCGATCTTTTACCGTTTAGGAAGGCAGAGCTCCCCCCAGCCTTTGCAGAATGCTAACGTAGGGCCCAACCCCGAGTGGTGGGTCCAGAGCATTGGGCCGCATCCATGGGGGTTCTGTCCCCTGAGGCCCGACAAATTCTCTGCAGACAAGGGAGTCCTGGCCAGCCTGGAGCAGAAGCTGAAGGAAATTGACGAAGAGTGCAGGGTCGAGGAGAGCAGGCGTGTGGACCTGGAGCTCAGCATCGTGGAGGTGAAGGACAACCTGAAGAAGGCAGAGGCTGGGCCCGTGACACTGGGCACCACTGTGGACACCACCCACCTGGAGAACGTGAGCCCCCGGGTGAGTGGCAGGTGTCACGGTCCCTCGGAGCCCCTGCGGAACCTCCCAGGTCGGGGTTGGGGGAGGCGGGTCACGTGCCCCTGCCCATGGCTGAGGCCTCACTCTCCTCTCACCACCTCAGCCCAAGGCTGCCACCCCCACCCCTGCCCCAGACTGCACCCCAGTCAACTCTGCAACCGCGCTCAAGAACAGGCCACTTTCGGTCATGGTCACGGGCAAAGGCACCGTCCTCCAGAAAGCAAAGGTAAGCGGTCATGTCCGGCCTCCTTTGGGGCCACCAGCTGTCACTAAGGTGGGGTCCCTCTTCTGTCCGGGGTAGCACGTCCCTGCTTTGGGCACCAGCTCTGAGAGCTCTGCTTTCACACAGCGGCTGAGGCTTCACTGTGCCTTTGGCTCCGTCGTTGGCATTGACCAAGCAGAAAGGCACGGGTGCTTGGTCCAAGCGTTCTTACCGGCCAGTGTGAGGACCCTCGATCCTGCAGCTGTATCCACTGCTCGGTCATCCCGTAGATTCTAGGGCGGTAGCCCAAGTTCAGAGACGGGCTGTGACTGGCTAGTTTTCAAATCAAAAAGTCAGTGAATCTCAAAAGGCCTTCTGCCACTAAAACTAAAGAAACAGACAGGTGATAGGATTTGTCTAAAGCCCCCCAGCCAACTGGTGGCCAGGGCGTCTACACGGACAGAATGCCATCGGTGGGTTGCTCCCCGAGGGCTACAAAGTGTTAGCAGCCCTTCCTCCTCTGCCCAGGAAAGAACATGCCCCGAGCTGCCTTTGCTGTCGGCAAACTCCACTCCTCCTTCGTGCCCTGCTTGCCTGCTGGAGGGGCTCTGGGGCACATGCACGATGACTCAGTCTTAACGCCACACAAGCCTGTGAGCCTCTGCTCCCTCCCGGCACGCTCTGCTGTGGCCCAGTCTCAGAACCTCTTAACATGGGCCCCAAACTGTGAACAGACAGCAATTACCATTGAAAAAATACTTCTTCCCTCTGTAGCAACCTCCATATACACAGAACAACATAACTAACTTTCTTCTTGGGGGGGGGGGGGTGTGCTGGTATCTGGCACCGTAGGAGTGGGAGAAGAAAGGAACGAGTTAGGAAACCAACTTCATCTAAAGACTTTCCTGCCAACATGGACCTTGGTGACAATCCTGCTTCATTAAAGTCTCTGTTCGGAAGAAAGAGGACTATGGTACTGTGGGTGGAGAGCACTGGCTTAGAGGAGGCTCTGTCCGTTTTCCGAGCCAAAGGAAATAATCTATAACAACAAAAAGAGGGCTTCTCTGGAGACCTATGTCTACTGAGTGGAAACAATCCTTTGCTGTATTCAGGGGTATTCTGTGTTTCTTCTTTGAAGTTTTCATCGCCTGCTTTATCGAGCTTTGTTAAGTAGTGAAAAGCTTCTGATGATGAGACTTCGGTGGCAGGACCGAAGGCAAATCAAGGCGGCAGGACCCTGTCCCACTGGTCATGTGGCTTTGGGGACCGAGAAGACCTGAACTCCGAGTGTCTTCCCTCCAGCATTAGCTGGTCCGATTCCGTCTTCTGTGGTTTCAAAACGGCATCGATACCAGCTGTGCAAAGCCGCCCAGGACACGCTTTCTAGGAAACAATAACGGGAGAGACTATTTGGGATCAGGCTGAGGTGCTGTCCCCACGAAGTTCAGGACTTCTTTTTTCAGCCTCAAGCAGGCCTGAATCAGTTGCTTTTGAATAAAATTTTCAGTGATGCTGTATTATACAGGAAAAGAAAATGTTTAAAATCGTGTCGTTTAGAACAGCAAAAAGTTGTCTTTTTGAGATTTAAAAGTATCTTTTTGAGATCAGACTTTCTGTGTTACCATAGGAGAAAAGATTACCGAGCGTTTACAGATTCCGTCCCGCGGCCAGACCATTTTTAAGGGAAAAGTTATTTAAGTTCTGCTTAATGTCCAGGCCCCTTCCGTGAAGAAGGTGGTGGGTTTTGTTTTGGGTTGACTCTCTCTCCTCTTAAAGCTGGCAGTGCTGTTCTTCGTGTCTTCTCTTCAGACGCGTCTGTTGTGGTTTAACACCGATTGAAACATTTCATCTATCGTTTCTGCCTCGTTCCGTGGGGTGGGGGGGATTATCAGTCAGAGTTCTCTAACACTGGTTCCTGAGAACTAAAAGTCTTCTGATTTCTAGGGTCTTTCTAATCCCAGGGCATTTATTTTCTTTGTCTTATACGCTTGGTGTCCTTTACCAAGTGATGAGTTCGATTTTTTTTTTTTTAATAAAACATTAATTGTATTTTGGGTTTTTCTTGTTATTTCGTGGAATCACTAGGGGCAGTGCCTGGTGACTTCTCCCTCAAGGGGGGAACAGCTTGGTTATTTACCCACTCAACTTCAAACTGTGTGCAGTAAAAACGGATGGAACTTCACAGTGCGATCCTAGCATCCATAAGGCTGAAAGAGGATTTTCGCAGTGTAACTGTGTACAGAACACAAAGGAAACCTACGTGATCAGTTTCTGCAGATACATGGTGGCAAATCAATACTCCTGGGAGTTAAACACACTCCTAAATCATTCTTAGGGCAAAGAAACCTACCAATACTTGGAAAGCTGCCTAAGGAGTAAAAAGTTCCACGCGCGAATGCGCTTGTTTTAAGAAGGACAAAATCTGGCTCATTGAAATGACTAATAAAAAGATAACCTAAAAAGGCCTTGAGGAATATGTATTTTCCATTTATAAAGTTAGCATAGTTCTGATACCAAAAAATCCAACACAAATCACCAAAGAAAAACCAAATCTCATTTTTGGGACAAAAATGGAAAAAAAACCTTAATATTGGCAAGTGAAATTCAACAGTGTTTAAAGAATCGGCCGCATCACGACCTGATCACATTTATCCATGGAAGCAAAGGTGGTTCAAAAATTAAAAATATACTAATGGGCCAAGTATGATATGAACAGATTAAATGTGAAAGAACTTCATCTCAAAGAAAGTGGCAATGCTACCACAAATCTCAATACTCCTAACAAACACTCTTCGTAATCCAGGAATAGAAATAAGTATTCCTGCCCTGATAAAGTAATCCACGAAAATAACTTATAGTGATGGGAGGGCGCTTCAGGCCCAGACACAGATACCAGTATTTTTTAAAGCATTATTCTGGAGGTCCTAGACGATGCAAAATGACATGAAAAAGTACTAGCATAATCATCAAAAGCCAGAAATAAGACTGGTTATTTACAAATATCTTTCTAGAAAACCAAATTAACTATAGGACTAGAGTATCCAGCAAGTTGGCTACAATCAGCATCATTCAGAAAATAACATTTATGACCTCTTTGCACGGTTTTCATTTTTCCCAGGAGAACGTTTTTTTTTTAGTTTAATGTTTTATTTCTGAGACAGAGTATGAGCAGGGGAGGGGCAGAGAGAGAGGGAGACACAGAACCTGAAGCAGACTCTGGGCTCCGAGCTGTCAGCACAGAGCCTGACACAGGGCTTGAACCCACAAACTGTGAGATCATGACCTGAGCCAAGATCGGACATTTAACTGACTGAGCCACTCAGGCACCCCTAGTTTCAAGTTTTTATTTAAATTCTACTTAGTTAGGGGCACCTGGGTGGGTCAGAAGGTTAAGTGTCTGACTTTGGCTCAGGTCATGATCTCACGGTTTGTGAGCTTGAGCCTTGCACGGGGCTCTGTGCTGACAGCTCAGAGCCTGGAGCCTGCTTCAGATTCCATGTCTCCCTCTCACTCTGCTCATACTGTCTCTCTCTCTCAAAAAATGAGCAGACATTAAATTTTTTAAAAATTCTAGTTAATAAAAAAAGGCCAGTGTCCTTTAAAAGAAAGAAAAAGGCTTGGCTGGTTAGACATTAAGACAGGAATTCTCTCTGCTGCTATTGGGATACTGAGGAGGTTAAGCTATTCAGTGGCACCTTCCCTAGAAAGGTTAAAAAACCTTCCCTAGAAAGCTCAAGCTCTGGGATCTAATAGAAACTGTGTTTAATGTGTAAGCCCAGAGCCCACAGTTCTGTGTTTTTTTTTTTTTAAGTCAAAGCAATTCAAATCGGGTGTCCAAATATCAACCTTAACCCAAAGAGCTGATGCTGTAAAATGATTAAACCTGCTGTTCAAGACTGTGGGCGCATGTAAGTTCTCTGACATCACCTGTCAGCACCTGCCAGGCGGACCTGTGTCCCTGCTCTGATGTCACCTGCCCAGGTTAAAGGGATAACAGAGTTAAAATATCCTTGAACACAAGTGACTGTCATGTGTTTGGTACATTGGACCTTTCATTTGTAAAGTCTGGCCTCCTTCAAGTACTTCAGGTCAGAGTAGCCTTGAATATTTGCATATAAGACACTTACATTATTTACATGAAAAAGAAAAGAAAAGTATCTGGATTTAGGTCACATCTCCACAAAGGTTTCTACTGAAAACCCAAAGGGAAAGGATGGATTCCTAAATAAAACGGGTAAGTACCTAGTTTGCCAGAAAACACCCCAACTAGAAGCTTTTTTGCCACACGGGTCCTGCTAAATAACCATCATCTTTTGCAACATTCCTTTACTGAGAAGCAAAGCCACCTAGATAACATAAGATCGGATGCTTAAAAGAGTCAACAGCCTCTAGGTTTCTTTATGCTGTATTTAAGAATTCCAATTCTCTTTGTCCTAAAAAAAACAAGCAATAAACAGCCCACAAGCAGCCCTCCTAAGTAATCTCTCAAGGAAACCCCCCACCCCCCGCCAAGGGAATGTAGGCATCTTCACCCCCGCCCCCCCATAGTCAAACAAGTTGGTTAGTGGTCACATTCCAGTCCGGAGCCTTTCTAGGCCTTTGCCACACACAGATCCAGACACCAGAATGAGTCACAAATGCCACACAAGCCCCTCGTCAAACCAAAAGCAACCGCATGCTTTTTCCATCTTGAAACGCCGTGGCTTTGGGGGTCCAAACACTCTAGTCCACGCCTCCTCCTGTGTCACCATCCCAACGACATCCTATTTAGCATCTGTCGAAGGCCAAGGGAGCTTCGGACAGGCCACCGGGAGTCTCCATGCTCCTTCGTTTCTCCCCAGGGGAAAGGTGGCAGACGACACGAGCTCACCGGGGCATAGCCAGGCACAGAAAGCAAATACTTACACATCACGATTTATCAGCATTAGCGGCGGAATCCGGTGTCGCTGTGCCCCTAAGCAGCACGGCCTGCAGCTGGGACAGCTCTTCTCTGTGGCAGACGGACGTGGGCGGGAGGGTTCTGCACGGAGCTGGAGGTGGACACTCAAAGGACCTCTCCAAGCAGATGCTCCCTGGAGGCCGGTGCCACTTCAGCGCCCGGGGTGCCCTGACCTGGGCGGTTGCTGGGAGGGGTCTTGGCGGGAGCCACGGGCCTTGGGGGCATCTCCTCTCAAGGACCCTGGGAGAGAAGGGAACCTCAGGAGTGCCTGAGGGGTCTTTCTTCAGCCAGCTGGCAGCCTGTGTGGCTCTCCCTTCCTCCGCAGCGCAGGCCCCAGCGTGAGCCCTTCGGGTCCACTCCCCAGCCTCAGACAGCCATGCTCGGCCCATGGCTGGAAACCCAAGGCTCCCAAGGGCATCATCTTCTGGTCGCTGGCTCCCCTTACTTGAAACTCATGAGCAGGGGCCACAGTGGGCCTGTAAGGCTGCCCAACATTACTCTCTGTCTAGTTCCGACCCCTCCTCTCCTGGACAGTTAGCACTCTCTGCTCAAACCGCCAGGGCCGCCTCCTGTCCTCACCCCCGGCTGATGGCCATTCCTCCCATTTCACTGAGCAGAGAGAACCACTCAAATAAGAACCAACCCCCCAGCCCCCACCCCCACCCTCCCCCCACCAACCTGCATCTATGTCCTCATCCTCTGCCTTCCAGATACTTCGCCTCTACTGCTCCCAGCCCAGGCCCCCGGGAGACCTCCCTCCCGGGATCTGCTTAGCACTCACACGCTGCGCGTCGCACCTGCTCACCGTCCGTCTCCCCCACTGGCCCGGGAGCTCGGGGAGGACAGAACCGCTAGTTCACTGCCATGTTCCCCGCACCTAGAGCCGCACCGGGATGCAGGCGGCCCCACGAAATGTCTCACGCAGGAACGACACACGCTGCGGGAGTCCTTCCGTTGAGCGAACGCCCTAGGACCTGCCTTCAGCGGAGTCCCTGGGGCTCAGCAGGTCTCAAGGCCACCCCCAGCTCCCACGTGCCGAGTGAGAGCCCCACTTACGGTTCCCACAGTGGGGGCCTTGCCAGCCGGCCTGGCACTCGCAGCGGTAGCTCCCGTTCTGCAGGACGCAGGTGCCCTCGTGCATGCACGGGCTGGGTTTGCAGACGTTGACCGGCCGCTTGGCTTCTAAAAGGGAGAAGGCGCCCAGCAGGGGTCAGCCCCCAGGCTCCCTACTCTAAGGAAGCCCAGAGCAGAGGTGAGGCCCCTGGAGGAGCGTCTTGCACCTCTCCATGTTTCCGTGGGCCCTGGAGCAGCAGCTTGGGGGTCAGCACACTGGTGCCCCATACTGCTTGCCTAGGTCACGGACCCGGCTTCCACACAGCTTTCCTTCCCTACTGCATAGACAGACTGTCTCTCTCAAACGTGCTGTGCGCATAGCAGTGTTTACTATTATTATGGACACATTTCTAGAACAGCAGGAATAAGGTCGCTGGCAAAATGATGCGTTGGGGTCAGGCTGGCCTGGCTGTGTCTCTTCCTAGCTGTCATTCACTACCTGGGTCAGTGTCATCCCGGGCCCTCAGACTCCTGGGGGAGTCTGCAGGTGTCCTAGGGATGTGTTCTGTCCAAGTGAGGTGCAGAAGCTCTCCAGCTTGGAGAGAGGGATTTTTGTTAAATTCTCTGCGCCTTAAGTTCAGATGGGGTCCGCTGTGCCCCCTGCAGTGTTTCCCGTGAGCAGGGAATGCAGCACAGAAGCCAGCACGTGGACAGCGCCGCGGAGCTGGGAGGCGCCACCATACTGATGTACACAAGGGCGCAGGCGGAGTCCCCCACCCCCACCCCGGAAGTGACAACGAAGGGTGTGGGCTCCCCCACTCACCTCCACATATCCACTCGATGAGCGCGTCCTGGTGGTACCTCAGGTCTGCGTAGGTGGCCACGTGGATCAGGGAGTCCCGGGGACCTGCGAGCCTCCGCAGCGCCTCCCTCAGCACGGGCCCCACGCCCAGCACCAAGACGGAGACACCATCGTTCCTCAGCTTCTGGACAGGGACGGCCGCGTCCTCCGTCCCCACCCCGCCTGTGAGCACCACCACGGCCTTGGGGACACCAGGCCGGGCGCCCCTCTGGACTGTCATCACTCTGTCATGGATGTGCAGCAAGGCTGTGCCTGCCGAGCCTACCCCGCCCAGGTAGGGGGCCTGGCTCATGGCCCGCAGCACCGCGGCGCGGGTGAGATGGGTGTCCAGCCCGAAGGCCGTCCGGACCCGGCTGCCGTACACCACCAGGCCGACCTGTGTCACGTCGGGGTTCACGTCGAACTGGAGTGTGCAACTCCTCACGAAGCTCTGCATCTGAGCGAAGTTCTCAGGCCCCACGGAGGCCGAGGCGTCCAGCATGAAGACCAGGTCCAGGGACTGTGCCTGGCAGCCTGTGGGGCAGCGCAGTGAGCCTGGGGCGGGCTCTGCCCGGCGGAGCCCCATCCCCTGTCCCAGGCCAGCGAGAGAGGGGCCGCTCTGGGTTGGGTCAGCCACTCGGCCCACAGCAGTCCCCATCCTCTCCCCCCTCCTCAAATAGGACACAGAAAGCCAGGCGAGATCAGAGTTCCAGGCTCCCCGGCAGATAGAATTTGGACACAGGGCCACACCTATCATATGGGATGTGGTTGGAAATAACTACAGTTGCCAAAATCCGTCCTCAGAAGGGAGTTACGTCCCTTCTCCCCACTTCCTGCTGGCTGAGAAACAAGGACCTCGGACCCAGAGGTGGAACAAGACAGCCAAGCCACCCTTCTGGCTGAGGCCACACGCACCTCTTAACTGAGAGAGAAAGAAATGTCTAAATCAGCTGTAAGCCACTGAGCTCTGGGGACCCTTTGTGACAGCAACTCGCCTGCATTCTCATCCATTCCCTTACCGGGCACCCTCCGGGTGCCATGAACCGTACTCCAGGCACTAATTATACCAAGTGGACAACATGGGCCCATGCCTCCCCTCAGTGGGCTAAGTGTCTATGGGGAGACAGAGAGGAGACCCACAGAGAATTACAAGTTACGTGAGCAGGCATGGCATGGCGGGGTCGGGGGGACAAACCAGGGTGCCCTGAGAGGGACCGGCAGGAGCAACAGAAGCAAGTCGGGAGAAGTCAGGGTCTCTGTGAGGAGGAAGTGTGGGCTGACGGCTGGGTGGTGGTCTGGGGCGGGGGGGGGGGGGGGGGGGGGGGGGGGGGGGGGGGGGGGGGGCGGTGGACCCGAGCGGTGATTCCCTGACCTGCTCCCTGTGCTGGGGCCACAGACAGAGCTGAGGGAGCATCCACTGGGAGCTCACAGAAGCCAGCGGAAGGGGCCTGGGGTTTCTGCTAAGTTCAGACGGGAGCCCGTGGATCGGATTTACTGGGTTTTAAACAGCACTCCGGAACAAGGAATATCTGAGAAACTGGGGGCCCAGGGGAGCCTAAGATGACATGATGGCCAACTAGAATGTAGGGTCCTGGACGGAATCCTCGGAATAAAAGGTCGCTAGGTAAACACTAAGATCTGAACAAAGGACAGACTTGAGCAAATAATGATATATTTATGGATTCACTAGTTGCGACACATGCACCCTGTGCGAACACCCTACGAGAGGAGCTACCGCGGAGCCCTGGGACCTCACCTGGCGGCGGCCGGCTGCACAGCTTCTCCTGCAGCTCAGGGATTTGGCGGAACAGGTCGTGTGGGCCGGCGTAGGCCAGGACGCGCTCCGGGCCGCCTGTGATGTCCTCCAGCTCCGCCCGCACGGCCTCGGTGCCCACCCCCAGCAGGAGCAGCTCCCGGGCCCTGGCGCGACGCGCCGGGCCGGCCACGTCATCCTGGGAGGGTGACGCGGTGAGCAGGACCACCACTCTGCGGGGACGGTCCTGGCCCGTCCTGGCGGCGCTCCCAAAGCCGCGATCGGCCACCTGCCGCAAGGCGCGGCCCGTGAGGCTGGCGCCCCCGCTGAAGGGGAGGCCATCTAGGCTCCGGAGCAGGGCCGGCACGTCCTCGTACTCGCCCACGGGCACGGCCACCGCCAGCTCCCCGCTGTAGCGCGCCACGCCCACGCGGGCCCGGGAGTCCTCGCCCAGGGAGGCCTGCACAAACCGCTTCACGAAGGCCTTGGCCCGCAGGAAGCCCTCCAGGGTGGTGCCCGCCGAGCTGTCTAGCAGGAAGAGGATGTCAGCTCTGCACTCCGGGCTCAGCTTCGGGGCTGTGGAGATTACAGCGGCCGTCGGCCACGCGATGGCCACCGGGAGCATGGAGGTGGCCATCCCACCCCAGACGTCCGGCCACTACACTGGGCAGGAGACCCCCTCCCTCCCAGGAAGGAGCCGGGGCCACAGGGGCCAGGGCACACGGCACACAACTACACAGGCCCAGACACAGCTCTCCCTCCTGGCTCTCACTACAGGTCTCTGGCCACTTTTTAAAAGTTAAACTGTAATCTAGAACTTTCTTCTGTTATGATTAGTGCTTCTGATGTCCCTGTGTGAGAAATCTTTGTGTACCTCAAATCATGAAGATATGCTATGTTTTCTTCCAGAAGCGTCCCTGCTTTGCCTTTTACATTTAGATCTATGACCCATCTGCAACTGATCTCTGTGTAGCTTGTGAGGTAGGGGGGTCAAGACTGTGTTCTTCCACAGAGATCTCCAGTTGACTCAACGCTGCGTTTTTTAAGCTATTAGTTAAACATTTTTTACAATACATAAAATATATATTTTAAAAAGTTATTGTTTGATAAGCTCCTGCTATGTGTCAAGCATTGTTACAAAGCATTTTCCATCTACCTCTTTTAAAATGCCCCACAACCCTACAGGGTTAAGCCTCTTATAATTTTCATCACATACCAGGGTTTAGGCCCTTTGCTCCTTTTCCTATGAGAAGGGAGGAGACTGCCCAGAACCAGACTGAGAGTCAGACTGGCATCAGCCTGCACTTGAACTCAGCAGTGCTCGAAGATCAAGCAGTGGCCATTCTAAAGGTAAGAAGCCAGGAGCCGCTGTCCTACCCAGGCCTCAGCAGCTGAGTTATTTATTCATGGAGTGCTCAGAGGCCGCATCACAGGAAACAACAGATCAGTGGTGTGCCTGCCCAGCAGGGCGCTCTAAAACTCAAGGGCAAGTTTCTACCTAGTAGCTAGTGGGGTGGGAGGTGGGCAGGGGGAGCCCAGGCTCTACTGCTCCCCAGCGGTCAGTCTTAGAAGTCTGGTGCAGGGGCGCCTGGGTGGCTCAGTCGGTTAAGCGTCCGACTTTCGCTTAGGTAATGATCCCGCGGTTCGTGGGTTCGAGCCCCGCGTCGGGCTCTGTGCTGACTGCCGGCTCAGAGCCTGGAGCCTGTTTCAGTCTGTGACTCCCTCTCTCTCTGACCCTCCCCTGCTCACGCTGTCTCTAAGAAATAAATAAAACATTAAAAAAATAAATTTTTGGGGGGCGCCTGGGTGGCTTAGTTAAGCGTCCGACTTTCACTTAGGTCATGATCTCGCTGTTTGTGGGTTCGAGCCCCGCGTCTGGCTCTGTGCTGACTGCCAGCTCAGAGCCTGGAGCCTGCTTCAGTCTGTGTCTCCCTCTCTCTCTGACCCTCCCCTGCTCACGCTGTCTCTCTCTCTCTCCTAGAAATAAATAAAAAATATTTAAAAAAAAAAAAAAAAAAAAAGTCCGGTGCATACGTACCGCAGTCAGCCTCCCCTCTGAAGGCTGGCGCGCAGAGGCAGTGGTACCTGTCCAGGCCTTCTGGAACACATGTGCCTCCATTCTGGCAGGGCTGCGAGTCACAGGCGCCTATTGGAGAGATGCCCATTAACAGCCTAGACGTCAGCCCAGAGGCGTGAAGGGGTTTGGCCAGAGGTGTGAATCTGGCAGACCACCCTGCCCCGGGCCTAGCTCCCGTCCTCCTCTGGGACCACTAGGAAACTAGCCACGACGTCTGTGGCAAAGAGGGGACAAGACAGCGAGTGAGGAACGTAAAGGAGGGGCCGGGTGGTGGATGTAAAGGACACTCAGTGGTGGGCTCCATCAGGCCCTGCGTGAATTACAGGCTCCACGGACCCTGGCTGCTGTGGACTGAGTTGTTTTCCTCCAAATTCATATGTGGAAGTCCCAACCCTCAGTACCTTAGGATGTGCCTGTATTTGGAGAGCGCCTTTAAGGAGGAAATGAAGGCTAAGTGAGGTCATAGGGTGGGCCCTAATCCAGTCTGATGTATCAGGAGGAAGAGACACCAGCCACAGGCCTAATGAGGACAGGGAGAAGACAGCCATCTACAGACAGAGCAGAGAGGCCTCAGGAGCAACAGAACCTGCCGACAGCTTCATCTTGGGACTCCCAGCCTTCAGAACCACGAGCAAGTACATTTCTGTCGTGTAAGCCACCCGGTCTGTGATATACAGCCATGTGTGTGCTAACTGCACAACATGGCTTTATAACCCCCGCTGGGCGAGGAGACCTGGAGGGGCTCCCGGGGGCTGCAGTGATTAACTGGTGTTGGGCCTGAGCTCGACAAAAATGAAAATCTCAGTAGCATCATGGCAGCCACACAGATGTCTGTAAGACTCGGGCAACACCGTGGTGTGGAGGGTGCCATTCCTGAAGTTCTGTGTGGTTGCTCTTAATGGCCTCTGCAGGCTGGCACAGCAAAACGGTGAGCCTCTGGTGCCTGGGTACCTACTTGGGCACCTTAATTAGCCCCTCCAAGCCTCCTCCTCAAAACAGGGATGATGAGAACTTGTTCCACAGAGTTACTGTGAGGATCACGTGAACTAACCCGTGGAAAGTCTTAGCACAAAGCCTGGCATGAACCAAACACTCTATAACATGTTAAGACAGTATTTACTTTGGGATATGAGGTCCAAATTATGGGCATTGTCCCTTTCAAAGGGGCTATTTTATACAGGAAACCATAGCCCATGACAAAATTGGGCCCATTCTGAAGTGTCCTCTCTCTGACACCCTATGGTCAATGTCTGAGCTCATTTCCATTCCCTTATCAGTTACTGTAAAATGCAGATAATACCATGTGACCTCCCTCCCCGAGTTGTAGAGAACAGATGAGATCTTCATGAATTCATGTATCATATATGCAAAGGATTTTCTAAGTGGCTGGGTGTGGGTACCATTGGAATTGGGTGATCTCTGTCTTTTCTACATAAAAACATAGAAAATGTGGTAGTCCCATCACTGCAATTAAAGCATATACTTATTGAAGATAGAACTTTTGAGGCTAACTCTGGACACCCAGGCCAGCTATTATGTCAGCCCGTGAATCATGGAAACGACTAGGGGCGCATTAACACCACCAACAGTGGCCTTTTAATTGAGCAGCTACTATGTGTTAGGTACTGCGTTAAGCACCACACATGCATGATCTCATTTCATGGACACTTCCCAATAAGGTAGGTTCTGTAAAGATCCCCTCATTCGAGATGGGAAAACTGAAGCTCAATGACTAGAAGTCATGTGAAGTTCAGATAGCTGGAAAGGGGTAGAGCTGGGACTCAAACCCAGGTCACTCTGTTTCCAAAGCTTGATGCTCAAACTTCAATTTCTTCTTTTCTTTTTTTTTTTTTTGGTAGGGGGGAGTACAGAGAGATAGCAGGCAGGTGTGTGCGCCAGCACACATGAGCGGGGGACAGAGAATCCCAGGCAGGACTTGACGCAGGACTCGATCTCAAGAACCATGAGATCATGACCTGAGTTGAATTCAAGAGTTGGATGCTTAGCCAACTGAGCCACCCAGGTACCCCTCAAACTTTAATTTCTGAGAAAAAAAACACGCTACTTTCAGTTTCTTCTGTGTTTCAGAAGAATGCAGCATGGGAACTTTAAAGCAGGATGTCAAAGGGATCACCAAACGCAGGGTAGAAAGTGCCACTGGCTCTCCTTCCAGGAGACAGGCTCCTTGCCTTATCAGGAGTAAGAAATCTGTAAGTGACTGATGCCAACACAGCTGAGTGCAGTTTCTATGCTCCCAGCTCAGTGGGGTGCACTAGACCCTGGCAAGCAGTAGGGAGGCCCACTGGGAACCAGGCTGAATGATGCCTGATGGTATCGGTGAGTCTGCCTGTTTGCTTTGGGACCTTGTCGCTGATGAAGGACTTCTGTGGGCATTTCCTACGAAATCGTCACTGGAGCCCATTTATGATATCCCTGTCATACAGAGCAGGGAAATGGGGATTCTGGAACCCCCATGGGACAATCTGTTTTGTAGAGGAGGAAGCTGAGACCTGAAGTATGTGCTGGGTGTGAGGCTTTCTATCTGCAAAGCTGGTGCTAAAGCACACCCTTCTCTGCCTCTTGCCATGCACGGGGCATGGGTTAAGGAAGGTAATTCCAAAGTCTTCACTCCATTCTTAGTGAACAAGACCAGAGAGCAAAGGAGGAATGTGTGCAGCATGGACCTGCCCCTCGTGCTCTGAAAGACCAGTCTCTCTGCCCGGGAGCTGGTTCCAACTCCACCCCCTGCCCAGGCGTACAAACACACCTTTAGAAGCCAGCCTAGTCCCAGGGCCCAGAAAGAGCTAGAAAATCCCAGAGGCAGACTGTACCTGGGCATGTGGTCCTGTAGCAGGTGGCAGGGTGGGTGAGGAACACTCTCTTCCAGCTATCACCCAAGGGAACAAACGGTAGAGAGCAAAACTTAAACAGGAAAGCAGAAGCCTTGGAAGGTGATCTGAAACCACTGAAAGCTGACATGAGATTCCGATACAGATATGGGTCAAGAAAGACGTCTTTCCTTTTTGATTCTCTCCCAACTTTTATCTGCACACAGGACAGGGAATATTCCAAACTACCCAGAAATAATTTTTTAAAGAAATGTAAGTTGGCGATCATGTCAGAATTTGCAAATACCTGTGCTTGGAACTCGGAGCTGCTGGAAGAGCTTTCTATTAGGAGTTACTTTCTGGGGCCAGCACAATGCAGCGGCGGAGGGGAGGGCAAGGAGCCCTCCTGGTAGGGAGGTAGGCTCCTGGCTTCCGGCTGTGTGACTCCCCCAGGCTTCCCACCACAGGGGCGGCCTAATTGCGCCCCCCTCTAGCGCACAGTCTTCCCTGGAACAAAACACCCACTTGGGATAAAAGCCAAGTCAATTACAAACTCAAAAGAGCTGCTGAAATCAGAAGTTTGCCAAGCTGCCAGCTCATTAAAGAGAAATTTCCGTCTCCACACCTATCCCTGGTGACTTCGTAAGACCACAAATCCTAGCCTGGAAAGTTCTGCGGACTCCTCCCAGGCCTGAAGTGGGGCCCCGTGCTGTTGGAGCAGAGAGGGGCCGCAGGGTTTCACCTGGCTCTGCACATGGCAGTGGCTCCCTCCTGAGCTCCCTCGGGTCCGGACGCTATGCCAGGCCTTTTATGCCCACTCTGCCAACGCTGCCCCCAGCCCTCACCCACCCATCCCTTCGTTCCTTTTCTCTATAGCACTTACAACTGCCTATCCGTTTATTTTATGCATTTGTTTTATTTACTATTGCCTCCCGCCACTGGAGTGTCAGCTGGTGAGGGCAGAGTAGTTTCTGGGACGCCCGTGCTGATGCCCCAGGATCTGGGACCGTGCTAGGCCCAGAGGAGACCCTCCGGGTTTCCTGAATGGGAGACTCAATGGGGGAATCACCCTACTACATGGGCAGACAGTTCTAAAAGCTTCCAATATGAGTGCACTCCACCTATTAGCTCGTTGCCTGCTCTCCACAGCCCTACTGGGTGGGTACCATTACCATCCCCCTTTCAAATGTAGACAAAGGGAGGGAAAGGTTCCAAGCCCATTAGTGGTCACTTTGGAATTACAGGCTCAGCAGCCTGACTCCGGAATCTGAGCACAAAGCCATGGAGTGTCCTCTACAACCAGCTTCTCCTGGGGCTCCCAGCTCTGAAGGCCTCTGTGTGGCATCACTGGGTTCCCTTATCTTTCAAGACTGTTCAAGCAGCCCCTCCTCGATGATGCCCCAGGGAGCATAGGCCCCATCCTGGCACCTGAGAGACCTAACGGTGGCCACTGTCCAATGTCTCCTCTGGACCATGAGCTTCTTGAAGTCGGTGGCCATGCCTGTCTCTTCACTGCACAACGCTCGGTTCCGAGTGAGCTCTCAGAACGAGTTCGGTGGGGAACAAAGAACTGCCTTCTTTCACTTGAAAGCTTGCATTCTGAAGAGAGCCTCTGGTGGCCTCTGCCATGGCAATAAGGCCTTCTCTTCTCTGACCAACATGCAAGGCACGGCCCTTCCCTGCCAAGATGGTCTCTGGACTGGCCACCAGCCCAGGATGATGGCTCACAGCTTTGTGGCCAACCCGTTTCACTGCTGTGTGTCTTCAGGGCTCATCACTGAGGGCAGGCCGAGGGTCCAAGATGCAGCTGGTTCAAACACGACCCCTGGCTCTCCAGAAAAGGCAAGGGGACAGGATCACAAGCTGCTGACCAGGTGCTGTCAGCTAGCTAGCGACCACAGGCAGTCTAGTCTAGGAATCTTTTGAGAGAATGGCTGACCACCAGGCAGTAGGCGCTCTAGAATGCCTGAGCTCCCCTTCTGACGAACACTGCGTCCCCCATGGCCTCCACAACTGGAATTCATCTAGGACCTTAAGCCTCCAGCCTCACTGGGCCCCATAAAGTACAGACATTGGTATTCGGAGAAACCAAATCACCAGACCACTGCCCCAAGTCCAGACCGCCGCCCTAGAGGACTCGCTTTGGCTTACGTATTAGCCTTCCAGAATGGCTGTGGCCCTGTTAGCCTTGGTCACCATGGGCGACTGGGCAGTAGGTCTACAAGATTCTGACACTGTGTAGCTGTGACCTTTCCTGTGACCCCACACCTCTGTCCTCCGATCCCTGTCACACTCTGTGGCCAAGGCTCCAAACAGCTGTTCTCCCTGTAGCACATGAGCTCTCAGCTGTGGGGGTCTCCATCCCCACCCAGGGAGCGCGCGGACCCCAGACCACATGGACGAACCTGGAGAAGGGGCAGAGTGCCGCCAGCACGGCATCGGTCCCCCGCGATCCTCTCCAGCAGCGGGCGCTGCCACCACGCTCCCTGACCGTCTCCAGCGTCCTGCGCTCACAGGGATGAGGCTGGAGTCTGCAGTCTGTGTCCACAGGGCACAGTGACGGAGAAGACCGGGTTATCTCCTCCCCCAGCCTGCGGCTCTGCCACCCTCCGCCCGGCCACCTTCTGCCTCTCTCAGGGCCGAGCACGTCAGGGGAAGGGCCCCGTCTCTGAGCATCCCTTCTGCACACAGCTTTTACACCTTGTGCACGTGCGTGCCTTTTATACAACATACTCTGATCCAGCTCCAGGGGGGACCCTGATAATGACCGCTACGAATGCAGAGACCTCACCCCAGCTGAAGTGGGGAGCTGACGTAGCTCTTCCTCCTGAGGAGGGGACAGGCACGGGGTGGGGGGGGGCGGTCCCACCAGGCCTGGGTCCCAAACCCTGGGCCCCTCTATCCCTCAGAGACAAGCTGAGAGTTCTGAGCTGGGAAGCCCCCCAGGGCCTGATGCAGGGAGGTAGACAGCAGAGCACCCCAGAGCGCAAGCTGTGAGACCCGCTTCCTCTTGCCCTCCCCCTCCCCGGGGAGCCTCTTGACCTCTTGCCTTGGGGAACCCTCCCCACCCCACTTCCACACGGGGGAGCCCACTCCTCCTCAACTCGGGAGGCCTTACCTGGAGAGGCGACGGTGCAGATGGCAGACCTGCTGAGGGTGCTTAGAAGGCCGTTGGTGGCGTCCTCCGCCTGCTCCACCATCAGCAGGTGCTGCTCCCTCGGTTCGCTGGCCAGCGCGTGCAGCTCCTCCCACCTGTCCCCGTCCCCAGCGCCCCGCAGAGAAGTTAGGAGCAGCTGACTGTCCCGCCCCCATCCACCTTCCTGTCCACCCATCGCCTACACCAGGGGCTCCTTGTGTACAGCCACAGACCCCACTGCTCCAGAGGCCACTTAGCTGCAACCTCACCCCACTAGGATACAGGTAAGGTCCAGAAGTGAACCACAGAAAGGCCCCAAGTGTGTTCAAGCGTGGGTAATAAAAGCACGCATGCCAGGGTTCAAATGTCCCCCAAGGAAAGCCAAACCCTCAGAACCCATCAGCTCATGTTTGAGACACGGTCTTAACAGACTTGGGCTGTCTGGTTTTGTCTCCCATGGCTGATAAGAAACATTTAACATTTAACCATGAGGGAACATGGTTCTGGGCAACGGCGAAAGAAGAACGAGCAAGGCAAGCGAGTGATAGAAAGAAAATACTGAAGGATGATAAATAGTGGATATAAAGCCATCAGCATGAGGTTACGCAGAGGAAGGGGCCAGCACACGTCAGCAGCCGGAGGGCACTACAGTTAGGGCCCAGCACAAAAGTGCTGGGTGGGATGATAACCTAGGGCACGAAGAAAGTGTTAAATGACCTTGAGAAACCTTTTTCTAGTATTTATTTTTTAAATTTTTTTATTTTTTGAGAGAGAGAGACACACACACAGAGCACAAGCATGGGAGGGCCAGAGAGAGAGGGAGACATAGAATCTGAAGCACGCTCCAGGCTCTGAGCTGTCAGCATCAAACCCAATGCAGGGCTCGAACCCACGAACCATGAGATCATGACCTGAGCCAAAGTTGGACGCTTAACTGACTGAGCCACCCAGGTGCCCCGAGAAACCTTTTTAAGAAGACAGGGTAGTTGGTAACGTATTTGGAATCTTGCCCTTCAAAAACTCATCAAAACAGACCAAGGTTTGGCAGTGCGGCAAAAACTTCACTTCTAAAATTCACTTATATAAAACTCGTCGCTCTCCTTTGAAGCCGTGTAGACTAGGCATCCACCCGCTACCCAGGACAGCACCTGGCACACACAACAGGGCTTCTGAGCTCTGGCCTCAGTCGCATTCAGAGGGCAGCGAGGCCAGGCCCCCTCCCTCCACGCTCCCAGCCCAGCAGATTCCCACAAAAGCCAGGGCTGAGAACCAGCAGAGAAGGGGCTCAATGAACATTAGAAGGAGCAAAGAATCAGAACCAGCATCAGCTTTTGTCTCATACTAGAGCCTCGCACTGCCCACAGCAGTGGTTCTCAAACTTCAGCAGGCATCAGAATCACTGAGGGCCCCGTAAACCACCAACGGAGGTGCCTTGCCCCAGCGTTCAGGCCCAAGCGTGTGCATTCCTAACAAGTTCTCACACGATGTGGATACTGCTGGTCCAGGGAACACACTTTGAGAACCACTGGTGTAGCGACCTGGCCTTTAACCAGCGGCGAGAGGATGGGTCAGAAGGGCCTGGGAACCCACGAGCTTCCTCAGAGGGTTCCTATGTCTGCAGCTCAGGACATTCGGAGCTGAGCAATGTCTCCTCTCCTGACCAAGGGCTTCTTGATTCCTCTACGTGAGGGGCACTCAAAGTGTGGCCCGTGGGCTGGTGAAGGCCCCCAAACTGTTTCACCCTCATCCAGAACCAGACAAGCATGGACACTGAGAAGAAACACCTAGAAACTACCATACAGCAACTTGTCAGAGTCATTTTATGTCTGCTGGATCAAGTGATCAACTTTTGAGTGTCTATTCTGTCTTCGTTTTTAATTTCACGATTCAAGTAATTTCTTTTTTTTTTTCTTAAATTTATTTCTCAAGGATTAAAACAACACAAAGCAGGGGCGCCTAGGTGGCTCAGTCGGTTGAGCACCCGACTTCAGCTCAGGTCATGATCTCACAGTTCGTAGGTTTGAGCTCCGCATTGGGCTCTGTGCTGACAGCTTAGAGCCTGGATGGAGCCTGTTTCAGATTCTGTGTCTCCCTCTCTCTCTGACCCTCCCCTGCTCATGCTGTCTCTCTCTTTCAGAAATAAATAAAAAACATTAAAAAAAATTTTTTTTAATAAGTAAATAAATAAAAGCAACACAAAGCAGACTGGACCTCCACCACGGACAATCTGAGCAGCACTGTCCCCAGCTAGCAGCTGGAGAAGAAAGCCCTGGAATGGGCCATGTATTTCCACCACCTGGTAGGCTCCAGCCTCACTGACAAACATTTGGGCAACTGAGCTGTGCAAGGTACTCTACTCGGTACCATGTGGGAGGAGGGTGGGCAGTAAGCCAGGAAGCAATGCCCCTGTCCCCTCTCTCATGCGTGAGGACACAGAAAGAGCCCACGGTAACGGGGGGTGTGTTAAATACTCCCTCACTGGCAAGGACAACAGCATGATGATGCCGGTGGCGGCACGGCCCGCGATAGCCCCTCGCTCCCTAGGTGATCTTCAGGCTCTAAATGCCGTCCTCGATCTCCATCTCTCTGTGCTCTCTCCCATGGCCCAGACGCCTAAATCCCGCTGCTGACTCAGCTTCTCTGCTCAGATGTCCGATACGCACCTCAAACTTGATCTGCAAGGGAACTCCGCTCCCCTTGTTCTCCCCCAGCCTTCCCCACCTCACTAAATAGCACCGCCATCCGCTCTGGGGCTCAGGCCAAAATCCTGGACTGTTCCCACGTGCAATTCGCCAGGCACTCCACTGCTCCACCTTCAGAACGTACCCAAGTCCGACCATCCCTGAGCGAGGTCCCTGCGCTTTCCCGCCACAAGCCACCACGATCTGATGTGAGCCGCTCCAAAGGCTCGCCGCTCTCCCCCAGCACTGCTTCTCCTTGCACCTCTACCCCTAGTCTGTTCTCTCTCTACCTGACAGCCAGTGCGATCTTCTCAAAAGCTAACCAGTACGTGGCATTTTCCAGCTCATAGCCATCTAAAGACTTCCCAACCTACTCACAATACACTCTCCAGTCTTCACTGTGACCCACAGTCTCTAGACCCAACTCCTACCTATCCCTTCTACCCCGTTTCTTACAATCCACCCCTTGTTTGCTGGGCTCCACACACACCCCCTGGCTGTCTTTCTCTTCCTATAGCACACTAAGCGAGCTGCTGCTTCAGGGCCTCTGTGCTTGGCATCTGTCTTGCCTACTCTTTTCCCTGCTCTTTGGAAGGCTTACTTGCTTCACGCAAGTCTCTGCTCAAAAAATCAACTCCCAGCAGATCTCTCAATCTAAAATAGCTGGGTTCTCTGCTCATCACGGTTTACCTCCTGCCTTACTTTTTCGTCTGAACATTTTATTTCCACCTGAAATAACATTACTTATTTATACAGTCACTTGTTTATGATCTAGTTCCTCTCCTAGAACGGAAGCTCCATGAAGGCAGGCACTTCACTTTGTATGTCTCTTATTCGGAGAACTTAGAATAACGTCTGTACTAAAACTAACAGAGGGGCGCCTGCAAGGCTCAGTCGGTTGAGTGTCCTACTCGATTTCGGCTCAGGTCAAGATCTCACTGTTCACGGGATTGAGCCCTGCCTCAAGCTCCGTGCTCTCCGTGGGAGGCCTGCTTGGGATTGTCTTTCTCTCTCTGCCCCTCCCCGACTCGTGTGTGCATGCCACTCTTGCTCTCTCTCTCAAAATAATATACATTAAAAGAAGTAATAGAAAGTGAAGAGATTTCTGTGTGCAGGCATGGTAACCCAGACCAGAGTCATTTCACTTAATACTCAAAATAACGAGGGACCCACAAAGGCACCTCCAATTTTGAGGTTGAGAGCAGGGAGGTCCTGTGCTCCTCTCTTTCCCAGGAAAGCACATTCCAGTGTCTGGAGAGGGAGAGGCCCCTCCCTCCCAGAACACCCCCTCCCCCCAATCCTGGCCTCAGGAGTAGGTCTATGACTCAGGCTAAGGAATCCTTTCTCGGATTATTCCCCTTGGAACTGGAAACATGAGTCTTCCCCCCCCCACCCCCCACCCCCGGGGTGGAGCTGGGCGCTGCCCAGAAGTTTTAGGCCCTGGAGGACCAGGCGCAGAGAAGAACAGAGACGAGAGGAAGACAGACAGAATCTTCACGGCGTTCGAGTCCCCGGCTCCCTCTCACCCACCCAGTACAATTCGATAAGTCCGTGAATTTCCGTTTCTGCCCAAATCAATTGGGGTCAAGTTTCTGGCGCTTACGACCAAGTATTCAGACTAAACTAAAGACCACGCACACTCCCAGACACAGCACGCAGAGTGAGGAAAACAGAGCCTGGAAGGACCAGGGTGGTTTGGCCAAATCCCCTCTCTTCCTGTGGCTGCAAAGTGTCTCCACGATCCCCAGGGTGACCCAGAGTGACCGAGGCTCTTACCTGGGAAACCGCACCCCGACGGCAAATACGGTGACACCTCTTTCCTTCAGCTGCTTGGCCGGCAGCGCCACGTGCCCTTGGGACCTTCCGTCAGTGACGACGATGAGGATCTGGGGCACGGAGGCGTTTCTGCCCCCAGGGAACCCTTTGCGCAGAAGGTATTTCAGAGCGAGGCCGGTCTCTGTGCGCCCGCCTCTGAGCGCACACAGAAGGAAAAGACAAAGCCGAGATCAGTCACCCGCAGACGTGATGTGGGAATGACAGCCTGAAACAAAGGGCTCCTCCACTGTTAGTGACACCCACGTCCTTCCAGCAGCGGCTCAGTGACCACTCCAGCATGGGACATGCACGTTCTCACCATCCGAACCACGACAAAGAGTAGACATTAACTCTTCCTGCAGACAGAAGATTCACCCTGCACATCTCTGTTGTGTTACCGATAATGTCATTCTTTGTGTAGGTTTTTGGACTCTCTTCCCACACCCCTCTGCCTCCAGTGACAGCTCAAGGGCGGATGACCTTCATTGTCTGTGTGTCTAACACCCACCGTCTCCCCGCACCTGTGTCATCGCCTTCCTATGGCTCAGCGGCCTGTTGGGGCGGGCAAGCAGATAACTGAGCTTAGGAGAATCGTGTGACTCTGTAAGAGTGAAGGACAGGGCTTTGATCCGAGGGTCTGATGATGGTCATGTCTGTGATCAGGACTTCCTGGCTCACTTCCAGTCCAGGGTTGGGTGCTGGAAGGCTGAACTGTGCCCTGCTTCCAGATCCGGGGATGTTACAGGGGCCCCACCTCGTCATAAGCCTAGTTAAGGGACTGTCTGCGGAGCCTAGAATCCCAGCGCAGAATCTCTATTAACTCTGACAACTGGCGGCTCATGCAAGCATCCTCAGGGGGACAGCTGCCAGCCCTCAGAGTCAAACAGGCAGAAAATGATTCCCTATAATGGGTTTTAGGCCAAACCTTTCAGTGAGTGGCAACACATCCAACATTAGCCGCAATGTTGAGGCTGATGAAATCACCACGGTTATTAACTGTACACACAGAGAAAACCCTGTTAGATCACTGTCCTGAAGGGCTAATCACAGACTGTAGATTTGGGGGTGCACATTTATTCTTAGATTACAGGGTCAATTAAGGCAACAATGCCCATCTCTCACAGGCCTTACGGTGACTCTTCTAACGTGCAAACATGCAACCGGCAGGAGGCTCGGGCACTGTGTGCGCGTGTGAATGCCTCCGTATCCGCCTGTGCAAATGTGCATATGCTTCTCTAACTCAACCCTAAAACTGCTCACGTCTCATGCAAGCCTCACGTGGTCCTCCTGCCTGAGCATCGCTCCTCCAAGCAGCTACTCAGAGAGCCAGGCCCTTTTCCCTTTGTGCTCCCCTTCCTCTCCCTCCTCAAAGACCTCTCCATTCCCCAGAGAGATGAGGAAAGAGCAAGGAGCAGCGTGCTTGGAAGGATTTATGGACCCGGCCCAGAATATTCTTCACTTTTACTGCTTTCTGTCCTGCGTGAGCTCTTGAAGGGCAATTCTCTCTGTGGGGCTCCATTAAGCTAATGAATGTCAACAAAAGTGGAAAACTCCTAGAATTAAGACCCTTTTCTCCCCCATATCAGCATCTGCATCAATTAAAAAGCCATGGTTTTCAGCCCACTGGTGTTTTTTGTGGACACTCCAAATGGAAGATAGTGAGAGGGAGACCAGGAAGCATAACATGATCCCATCCCTTAAGAACTGTCAGTCTAGCTGAAGAAATAGGGCCTATACGCAAATAACGATTACCAACGGAAGGATGACAGTCCCAAGACTTCTCAGGAGTGGGGTCATTGTGGGGAGAAGCTGTCAGGGACGGGCTCCAGCAGGGAAAGCAACTGATGGGGGTCTTGGTGGCTCAGTGGATTAGGAAAGGAAGAGGCCATTCCAATCAGGGGAAGAAGGGTAAGCAAAGGCACTGGGGAACACCTCCAGCCATGGCCTGGGACTGGTGAGCACAGCTTGGGCAAGGGGCTTGTCCAAAGGGAAGAGATCAATGAACACCAAGAGCCCCCAGCTCTTCTCACACTGTGCTGGGTCACACATTAGATACTGAAGACAAGCAAGAGGATTTTGTTTTCTGAGACAACTACCACCTTTGCCAAAGCTATCGTGTCTACGAAGACTCATCCCTGAGGCTCCTGGAAGTGCAAATGGTTTCCCAGTTCTATGGGTTTGTTTTTTTTTTTTAATTTATTTCTGAGAGAGAGAGAAGAAAGCATGAACAGGGGAGGGTCAGAGAGAGAGGGAGACACAGAATCTGAAACAGTCTCCAGGCTCTGAGCTGTCAGCACAGAGCCCGACACGGGGCTTGAACCCACAAACCGTGAGATCAAGACCTGGGCCAAAGTCAGAGGCTTAATCGACTGAGCCACCCAGGCGCCCCCTATGGTTTCCCAGTTCTAAAGGATAATATTAGTACTGAGTTTTTACTTCATGCCAAATACTCTCCCTACCTGTTACTAAATGTAATCCTTACAAGTATGGTAAAAGGTGCTAATATTATTCTCATTTATTAGATGAGGAAACTCGGCCCAGAGAATAGTATTACTAACTGCTAATATCTTCAGAGCACTTAGTGTGTGCCAGGCACCACTGGTGTGTGTGTGTGTGTGTGTGTGTGTGTGTGTGTGTTTATGTATGTAAAGGTACTAAGCTCAAATAATTCTCACCACAGCTGAGATAGGGAAGTCCTGGGAAAGGCCTTATCTAAGGTCACACAGCTCAGGAATGGAGGAGGGAGGACCTGAACCCTGAACCCTCCGCTTCCAGAGCCCAAGTTCTTAGCCAAAATGTCACTACACAGCCATCCAAGTCCCCTGCCTCTCAACCAGCTAGTGAGGGGTCAGAAATGGAGTTTATTTTTTTATTGTATTTTTTAATTAAAAAAAATTTTTTTTTACTTATTTCTGAGCGAGCGAGAGAGAGGAAGCGTGAGCAGGGGAGGGTCAGAGAGAGAGGGAGACACAGAATCAGAAGCAGGCTTCAGGCTCTGAGTTAGCTGTCAGCACAGAGCCTGACGTGGAGCTCGAACCCACGAACCATGAGATCATGACCTGAGCCAAAGTCAGATGCTTAACCGACTGAGCCACCCAGGCGCCCCCAGAACTGGAGTTTAAACGCAGTCAGGCAGATTCCAAAGCCAATGGTCTTCCTTCTCTGGGGGTTGGCAAATTACAGCCTATAATCTTTGTGTAGATAAAGTTATACTGGGAAACAGCCGTGCCCATTCATTTATGTACTAACTATGCAGAGACCCTATGGCCAGCAAAGCTTGAAATATTTACTCTACAGCTCTTCACTGAAAAAGTCTGCTGATCCCTGCGGTACACTGTTCTACCTAAATGGTCACCATATTCTCTGCTCACCAAAAGCCAAGGTGCCCCATGACCATGGCCCTCCCTGGGCCTTCATGCCCCTGGCAGTATGCCCCATGGCTGTGGTTAGAAACCAAATGTCAAAGACATGGAGTCTGGGCTCCCAATTCTACTGGCCTGTGGGGTGTCTGCCCTTCCTATCCCTCAACACACAAACGCCTGTGCTGTCTGTCCCTCTCTACTTCTGCTCCCTAACCCACCTTTCGGGAACACTTTACCAGTCAGGCAAGATTCCTAAAAGCTTCTGAACTCTGGGAAATGAGAAAAAACCCTGCCACCTCCATGTTCCTTACTCTGTGGAGCATTTCTGTCTGAGGGTCTGTCCTGAGCTCAGGGTGTGGCTCCAGACAAGGGAGGTCTGAGGCCATAGTCTCACCAAGATTTTTCTAATTTCTCTCAAACAGGACTAACCCAGCTTGAAAGTAAAGGTTCACAGACAGACTAGGGTCTTAGGGGAGCTTGCAAAGCATGGACTTTTTTTGGTGGGGGTGGGCCTGGCATCTAAACATTTGGCCATCGGTACAGTCAAGTGGTTGAGGAACATGGGCTCCAGCCAGAGTCGGTGGGGCTCAAATATTAGTCCTGAAATGTATTAGCCAAGTAAACTTGAAAAGGTCATGAGACTCACTTTCCTTCCTTGTTAAAGCAGGGAAAGTAACAGTATTATTAAATGCTACACCCAGTGCCCCCTAGGAGCTAGTGAGCACCCTATCAGGGGTAGTTACCATGACAAACTAACTAGCAGTCTATTCCAAGAAGTTTATCTTTTGAGTTAGTCTCAAGTTCCAATCAGCATAAATATCCCTTGGGAGGCGGATAATGGAGACTGTCAGATTCTAGCATCAGGGGCTCCAAATGGGTGGGTGTGTGACCAGGCTGAGAATCTACATTTGAGGCCAGCCTCCCCTGCCCCAGTGATTCTGAAGCAGGGAGTCCACGAAACAGATTCTGAAAAATAATTCATCAGAAAATTCACTGTAGGGGCACCTGGTGGCTCAGTAGGCTAAGTGCCCAAGTCTTGATTTTTGGCACAGGTCATGGTCTCACAGTTCAAGGGATCAAGCCCCACATCAGGCTCTGAGCTGACAGTGTGGAGCCTGCTTAAGATTCGCTCTCCCTCTCTCTCTCTCTCTGCCCCTCCTCCACTTGCACACACATGCACTCTCTCTCAAATAAATATTAAAGAAAGAAAACTCACCGTAGGTAGGGGATGTTGATTACAGAGCTGTCTTTCTCTTTTTTATATCAATAGACAAAAATCTTGGAATCAATGTAAATGTGTCCTTTTAGAGAAGTGATTTAATATACTATGATAGTTCAATTTATTGGGTTATTATATAGCCCTTAAAAAGGATCAACATGAGGGGCGCCTGGGTGGCTTAGTCAGTTAAGCGTCCGACTTTCGCTTAGGTCATGATCTCGTGGTTTGTGGGTTCGAGCCCCATGTCGGGCTCTGTGCTGACTGGCAGCTCAGAGCCTGGAGCCTATTTCAGAGTCTGTGTCTCCCTCTCTCTCTCACCCTCCCCTGCTCACACTCTCTCCTAGAAATAAATAAAAAAATACTAAAAAAAAAAAAAAAAGGATCGACATGAAAAATAATGCAGCTTTATAAAAAATGCACATCAAGGAAGTTAAAAAAGAGCAAAACGCTTTGTAATTACAACTATGCTAAAAGCAATACTTAAATGTTAATGCAGTTTGAAAGAAGCCGCAGACAGCTTTGTGCTAAGGTACAGTGCTGAGTGCTACTTCTGGAGAGCTATCTAACTACAGTAAAACTCTGATAAAGCTACAGATGGGGTCCACAGCAATCACAAAAAACTCAAGAGTCGCATGACCGTGAGATTAATGAAATGACTGAGGGAGCCTGCATAGCCAGCTGGCCAGGAGCTCTGTGCACTTGGAACAGACTTTGCTGGCCATGCTTTATCTGATTTTATGTAATCAGGGGGTACAAAATTGGAAGGGCTTTGACTGCATTGTTTTTTAAACTTCTTAATGCAGAGTGGCAATAAGGGCAGTTCCTTGGCCACCTCACAATGCTTTCAGGGGATCGATCGCCTTGGTCTGAAAAGGCGACTATTTGGGGCTCTGGGTAGAGCTGTCCCCACCAGTTCAGCATTTCAGATTTCAATGCAGAACAAGGGTAAAGAGCCGTGGAGAGGTTATCGCTCCCACTCGGCCAACATTCCTCTGCCCTGATTAATAATAACATCTTAATGTTTAGTGTCCTCAGCGACCCTGCAACTGTGGCCAGAAAATTACTTACTGCCTCCTTGCCTCGTCTGCGGCCTCTTACAGTCGTGCTAGGACATGCGAGTCCTAACCATGCACAGTCCCAGAAGAGCTGACCCTGTTCAGACACATAAAGAGGCTTCTCCCCAACCCGCAGTGTTCCCATCTGGCATATTCTTACGGAGTCTTTGGACTTCCTGCGCTGTGACTAATACTTCAAGCCCTTAGTGAGGGCTTCCAAAGAGCTGAGAAGAGGCTCAACAAACTGTTTAGGGGGTGGGAGGGGAGGGTGGAAAGAGATAGAAAAGCACAGCCAGGGGGGTGCGGGGGGGGGGTGGTGGAGACCTAATGGACGAGTAGAAGACTCTGTGGTCCTGGCCAAGTCCCCTGCTCCTTCTCAACCTCAGTGGTCTCCTCTGTAAAATGAGGGACTGGAATAGATACTAGCTGACCCCCAGAGGGCCTTTTTGAATCAATCTGCTGCAATTTGCTTGGTGTTTTCAGAAGACAGTGGGGCCAAATCATCGAGTCCAAGGCACCCAAACAACTGTTGACCTGCAGTCCTGAACTGAAACCCACAGGTCAGTTTTTCTTCTGCAAATGTTAGCATGCATCTGATGGGTACAAAGATGCTTTTGTAATAAGATGTTTTATTAATAATGATAGAATTCATACACCATAAAACTCACCCTTTTAAAATATTTTTTTAAGTTTGCTTATTTATTTTGAGACAGAGCAAGGGAGGGGCAGAGAGGAAGGGAGGGAGCAAGAATCCCAAGCAGGTTCTGCACTGTCAGCGTGAAGCCCAACGTGGGGCTCACACTCACTAACTGCAAGATCATGATCTGAGCAGAAATCAAGAGTCAGATGCTTAACCAATGGAGCCACCCAGGTGCCCCACAAATCACCCTTTATTTTTTTTTAATTAAAAAAATTTTTAATGTTTATTTTTGAGAGAAAGAGAGAGAGAAAAACAGAGACTGAGTGAGGGAGGGGCAGAGAGAAAAGGAAACAGAATCTAAAGCAGGCTCCAGGCTCTGAGCTGTCAGCACAGAGCCCAAGACTGGGCTCGAAGCCACAAACCAAGGGATCATGACCTGAGCTGAAGTTGGATGCTTAGCCAACTGAGCCTCTGAGGTGCCCCAAAAATCACCCTTTTAAAGTATAGAATTCCCTGGTTTGCAATGTATTCACAGAATTGTGCAACCATCCCCACTAAGTCCTACACCCCAAAAGAAGCCCTACGCCCATTAGGGGTCACTCCCTATCCCCCTCCCCACAGCCCCTGGCAGGGACTAATCTGCTTTTGGTCTCCACAGATTTGCCTATTCCAGACATTGCGTATAAATGGGAGACTCATACAATAAGTGGCCTTCTGTGTCTGGCTTCCTTCACTGAGCACCATGTTTTCAAGGTTCATCCATGTCGTAGTGTGAATCGCATCATCCTTCCTTTTCACAACTGAATAATATTCCAGCATGGCTCCACCACATTTGGTTTAGCTATTCATTCATTGGACTTGTGTGTTGTTTTCATTTTTTGGCTGCTATAAATAATGCTGCTACAAATGTTAGTATAGAAGTTTTTCTGGAAGCATACATTTTCAGTTCTTTCGGAGTCACTGGGTCACATGGTATATCTATGTCTAACTGCCAGACTATTTCCAAAGCTGCTGCACCATTTTACATTACTACCAGCAATGCATGAGAGCTCCAATTTCTTCACATCCCTGCCAACACTTGCTACAGTGTGTCATTTATTTTAGCCTTCCTCGTGGGTGTGAAGTCATAGCTCATTACTGTTTTGATTTGTGTTTCCTTGGTGACTAAGGACACTGAGCATCTTTTCAAGTGTTTGTGTGCCATTCACAGATGTTCTCTGGAGAGATGTCTGTTTACAAGGTTTCTTGTTAGGATGATGGAAATGTTCTAAAATTATAGTAATAGTTGCACAACTCTGGAAAATACACTCAAAATCACTGTATTGTACATGCTAAATGTGTGAATTTTATGGCATTTAAATTACATGTCAATAAAGGTGTTTTTGTTTTGTTTTGTTTTACAAACTTAGTGTGTAGAATAAGCACGTGGCAGGGGCGTCTGGGTGGCTCAGTTGGTTAAGTATCTGACTCTTGATTTCAGCTCAGTCACAGATCAGCAGGGACCTGATCTCACAGTCACGAGACAGGGCCCTGCATCAGGCTTCCAGCTGGGCACAGAGCCTGCTTAAGATTCTCTCTCCCTCTCTCTCTCTGCCCCTCCCCTGCTTGCTTGCACACTTGTTCCCTCAAAAAAAGGGGAGGGGGGCTGGGACACCGGGGTGGCTCAGTCAGCTAAGCATCCAACTCTTGATTTCAGATCAGGTCATGAGCTCCCGGTTTGTGAGTTCAAACTCATCGGGTTCTATGGTAACAGTGTGGAGCCTGCTTAGAATTCTCTCTCTCTCTCTCTCTCTCTCTCTCTCTCCCTCTCTCTCTATCTGTCTCTCTCTCTATCCTCTTCCCCTGCTCATGCTCATGCTCACTCTCTCAACACAGATTTTAAAAAAAGAAAACAATAATCATCACAGGGCAGTGAGGCAGTGGGAGAGACCTTTCAAAAGTACAAATCCTTAGTATCTACGTACCCTAAGCCCACTGACGGATTCGGAGGGTCTTGGAGGGAACTGAGGCACTGGCCTCGCTGACACGCTCCTCAGAGGCAACTCCGACCCAGGCCTCCTGACCAAAGAGCTCGCTTTGACACGTGGGCATCTGGGCCCGAGGCACAGGAGCGAAAGGCTGCGACTGTCCTCTCTAGGAAACCATTCTCGGAGGCCTCAAGGGTAGAGGGTGCGAGGGAACCAGGAAAGGCCGGTGCACACTAATGCCACCTTTACCAAACACTTCAAGGTGCTTGTCTTCCCTCTGTGCTTTCTTGTACTTGACCCGCCTCTCGCTCTGGTCAGGCTGCCCCCGGGCGGGGACAAACAGCCTGAGATGAAGTCACTGGGGCTGCCTGGGGGCTGTATGGCCCCCAGAGGCCCTGCTGCGCCTGTAGGGGACACGGGCGTCTGGAGAGCACTGGAGGCGCAGAAGCCTGTGACTGGGAAAGAGACTGCAGAGTCCAGGGCCTTCCTTTGCGGCTGGAGTCGGTGGCCACGAACGGCTGGGACCGTGGACTCTGCCAGGACTTCGTGGGCACGTGCTCAAGGGGAAGCAGACACCACAGAGGATCCAGAGAAAATCCAGAGAGCAGAGTGGCGAGTGGCAGGTAAGGTATCCTCCTGTGAGGGCTTGGGAACGTGTGTGTGCCTGTGCTCGCACGTGTGTAGCACGCACGCACATATACAGATGCATGTGTGTATATAATACACATGCATATAAAATACTGATACACAATATATGTATTTACATTTACATATATGTGTATCTACATATGTGTATTTACACATACATATATGCATATACACACACATCAGCTGACATGTAACGTGAATAAAGCTATGACCCTACTACGTACATTTATAGGGTGTATATGATCATACAAAGAGCTATTCATCATTTTTAAGGCATTTTTCATAACAGAGGGACAAGTACTCTTTCTAGAAGATAAAAACAAGGCTTCAAGGAGTGTGGGGAGCTGTCCCAGCTGCAGGGGTCTCCAGGGCCAGAACTGGGAGACCCAGTATTCTTCCCCCCACGTCACCTGACGCAGCTCACCCTCCGCCAGCCCCCCGTCCCAGGTAGCCGACAAGGCCACACAACAGCGGCAAAGAGATTTTAATTCGCACATAAGCTCCCACTTGAGACGCTGTTGTGTAACAAGGAGGAGCAGTCTCGAGACGGGCACTCTCGTCACTCACTGGACACGGCTGGGGTTCCGGAAGCCAAACCGCAGCCCTCTCTCGGGCCGACCGCGCCCTTCAAGGGAGCGATCTTGAGAGCCGCTGGCTTCATCCCAGCCGGGGCGGCATTTGCTCATACGTACTTGAAAACCATCCTCTTCATGTGTGCCTTCACTTCCTGTTGGGACGAAAACGAATCCAAGGGGAATTCCAGACGAGGAACGGAACTGAACTGCAGGGCTCCCACTCTGACCTGCAGTAGGAGACAGAGGGTCCGGGGGTCAGGGGGGGGCGGTCTGAGAGCGAGGTCAAGGCACAAACAGTCCTAAGGGAAATGACCCTGCCTCCTGCCCACTCAACAAATACCAGAGCCAGGGCTCTCTCCAGTGTCCCTAAAAGAAAGTTCCAAAGCCCTGGAGAAAACAAAGTGCCTACGCGCTGTATGGACAACCCCAATAGCAGCTTCTGGCAGCTCCCCCGGCTGGGCTGGGAGCGTCCCTAGCGCAGGGTCGCAGGCCACATATCCAACAGCCTCCCAGGTGCGGGTACTGTTTTAAACAGTCTTTTGAATTATTTCATTTAACCCACAGAGGCGCCATCAATACATCACTGCTGGGGAAACTGAAAATGTAGAGAGACACGGATCTGGCCTGGGGCTAGGGAACGAGAGAGCCGGGCCACGGGTCCTCGCGCCTACGACCCTCGCTAAGCCTCAGTGACACCACAGACAGCAGGCACAGACCTCGAGGAAGATGCTGCCGAGCCAAGCCGGGGAGCCGGGGACGCTCAGCACGGCCGCCTTCACGGCCGGCTCACCGCCAACCATGGCCGTGATCGGGCGCGGGTCAGTCCTTACGGGCCCGCTCCTGACAAGCTGGGGGAAGGCCACCTCTCCAGACCAGAGTCACACGGGGGGACAATCGGCATCTTAACCTGAGACGAAGTTCCTCCACAGCGGACGGACTTGGGGCTGCGGGGGATTCCAGATGCCGCCTCATCCTAACTCAGAGGCCATATGAGCAGACCCAACGCCTCGCAAAACTGGAGAAGGGAAACTGAGTAAAGTCACGTTCTGGGCCCTTAGGACTCTCGCTTGTCTCGAGCAGAAAAGGCCATAAACATTTGGGTTTCCTCCCGAAAGCCCAAGCCCTGTACATAATCAGTGGCTCTCTAAGACTCCATGCTCCGTCACTATTAACTAACCCCAATTCCGGCCAAGACTGCCAATCGGCCAAGTGATTCACATTTAAGCAACGAGGCTGCCCTTTTTTTTTAACCCACTCCTTGAGTTCCTGCACTGCTGATCCCTAAACAGACTGAGCGCTTTGGACACCATCCAAGGACTCGGTCCCACCAGCCCACTGGCACCTGATCCGGTTACCAGAGCCCAGTGGAATCTCCTTCGACAGGAAGCTCTGAGGATGAGCCCGTTGAGCAGCTTCAGTGGGAAGAAATTTAGGCTGGGTGGGCAAGTGTGGGAGAGGGACACTGGAAAACCGAGCAGTAGAGAAGCTTGCGGAGATTCTGAGGAACAAGACTTTTGAAATCTCCCTTGAAGTCAGCATGTGATCTAGGCAGCCTCTCCAACTAGTGGGAAAACTGGCCTAGTAGGTGACAATTGAAGAGCCACCTACAAGTGACAACAGGGTCCATCACAAATGGGTTCAAGATTTATATGCGAAACAAATACAACCGTGGAAGTTCTAGAAGAAAACTTGAAAGGATTTCTTCATAGCTTCAAAGTGGAAAACGACCTTACTTTGCTTTGAAACCCGAAAGCCATAAAGGAAAAGGGTGATAAATCTGGCTACGCAAAGAAAACTTCTGAAGGGTGAAACATACCATAATGCAATAAAAAAATGCAGACAAATTGAAAAGTTGTTTGCCACTCAAGTCAGAGGCACTCAAGTCAAGTATATTGGCTAGTTTTCCCAATATACAAAGAGTCTCTAGGAACTGATACATAAAAGACCAACAATACAATAGAAATACTGGCAAAGGATATGAACAGGTATTGCACAGGAAACACAAAGGCTCTTTGAGAAAAGATGCTTCACTGTACCACACTGAAATGTAGCAGAAATCTAAATACAACATTTGCAAGGGAAACTAGCAAGTTCTCAAGCATTGCTGCAAGAACATAAGTGCTACAGCACCTATGGAGAGCAATTTCTCAATATTTAGTGAAAATACAGTGGCATAGGGCTCCTGGGAATGTACTCTACAGACATACTTCCGTATGTGTGAAATAAGGTATTTACAAGCTCACAGTATATATATATATTTTTTTTTAATTTATTTATTTTTGAAAGACACAGATAAACAGAGCATGAGTTGGGAGGAGCAGAGAGAGAGGGAGACACAGAATCTGAAGCAGGCTCCAGGCTCTGAGCTGTCAGCACAGGGCCCGATGTGGGGCTCGAACCCACGAACCGTGAGATCATGACCTGAGCCGGAGTCGGACACTCAATTGACTGAGCCACCCAGGCGCCCCAGTATATTTGTAATAGCAGATGTCCATCAATAGGGGATTGGTTAATTAAACCTCAGTAAATCCTTACAATGGAACATTAATAAGCCATAAAATATAACATATACCCATTTTAATGGCTATATTACCTATATACCTAGATATGGAAAGATTTCTAAGACAATATGGAAAAAAAAAGGCAAGGGATAGAACAGTGTATACACATGCATGGCATACTTCATATTGCTTGTGTTTGCGTGAAGTGATTCTGGAAGGGTGCTGGAGAAGACAGGTAGGGAAATGGGGCAGATGGAAAATATGTGAGGAGGAGGGACACCATGCACTGAATGCATTTTCATTGAGCCATATGAAAGGATCACTTAAAAAACAACAATTCTGGGGCACCTGGGTGGCTCAGTCAGTTAAGTGTCCGACTTCGGCTCAGGTCATGATCTCACGGTTCATGGGTTCGAGCCCCGCATAGGACTCTGTGCTGACAGCTCAGAGCCTGGAGCCTGCTTCAGATTCTGGATCTCCCTCTCTCTCTGACCCTCCCCCGCTCATGCTGTCACTCTCTCTCTCTCTCTCTCTCAGAAATAAATAAAACATTTAAAAAATTAAAAAAAAAAAGAAACAATTCCCTTGAGACCAACAGCTGAGTGTATTTACTTGAATTAAACAGGAAGGACAGAACTTCAAAACAAAACAAGATGGAAATGGCTTGAGTCAGTGGTTAAGGCATTTGATTTAATTGGTGGTTTGGGAGCAAAGTAGTTGCCTTTTATCTTTGGTTTACTGTGTGCTCAGAAGCAGGCCTGCCCAGATCCCTCACCACACTGTAATCACCAGGCTGCCGTCACTGTATTAGCGCCAGGAAGGGGGCTTCCCAGCTTCTAATTTTTGGGAGAAAGACTTCAAACACCTCACTCCACCTCAACCACACAGCATCCGTAAAAAGCAACTTAATTTATAGCACCTTAAAAACTGAAGTTGTAGCAGAGTAAAATACGGTGCAAATCAAATCCCTCGCACGTAGAGATACAAGAAGTCACAGAAATGCAGCGGCCACAGCATAAAACCTGAAGCACAGGTCAGACGGAACCATCTGAAATGGCCCTTCATGCAAATACCCGGCGATACCAACAGTCCAAGCAGTGTGAGGTCCTGCTGCCCCGTTGTTCACTGAACCAGACCCCCCAACCGCTCAGCTCAGCGAGTCCTGCTATGAGAAAGTTTTTCTCAGGTCAAGTCCATATAAAGTCTCTGAACATCCAGGGGCGCCTGGGTGGCTTAGTCGGTTGAGTGTCCGACTTTCGCTTAGGTCATGATCTCGCGGTTCGTGAGTTCGAGCCCCGCGTCAGGCTCTGTGCTGACTGCCAGCTCAGAGCCTGGAGCCTATTTCAGAGTCTGTCACTCCCTCTCTCTCTGACCCTCCCCTGCTCGTGCTGTCTCTCTCTCTCTCCTTGAAATAAAAATAAAAAAATATTAAAAAAAAAAAAGTCTCTGAACATCCAGATTCGGTGTGAGTGAAACAGAGGCACTCTGCACCCTCCTTCACCTGAAGAATCATGATCAGCTTCCCTCATTATCATGGAAGTTTCCAGGGCTCTCGCCGTTCTGGCGCCTTGCTGTGGGCCCTGTCTGGTTCGCCCATATCTAACCTAAAATTCTGCCTCCAGAACTTAATGCCGCATTTGAGATGTGGTCTGGCAACTCTGGGTTTTAATTCCCTGAACTCTGGGCACCTGTGGTTGACACAGCTGCACCAGCTGCACTGGCCACAGTCGTTTGTGGTGGTGTTTGTACCCTCCGTGCCGACGCTGAATCCCATCAGCACCCACCCGTGACACATTACACACACACACACACGTGCGTGCGCACACACACAATGCCACCATGCCAGCTGTCCATCTGCCATGTGACAAGGTGTGAATTCTGAGTGTCACCTCAGCCTCACCCAGGGGCTACCAGCTGGGAGGGACAAATGACCTAATGGAGCAAGTCCTGAGCTCAGAGCCAAGAGCCCCATACTTCCACATTTATCTGTCTCCTATGATTACTGTGTGACCCCGGGCAGTTACTTAAACTCTCTGAGCCTGTTTCTTCATCTGTTAAAAAAAAAAAAAAAAAGATTCGCCAATCATGCCCACAGCTCTTCTCTCCCAACCCACCATCCTCTGAGGCCCGCAGGCCACCCACTGCAGAACACATTATATCAGTGCCAACGTCCACAGGCATTTGATTTTTATGGTTCTTTCTCCAGGAATAACTAATGAAACTTTGTCAGAATCACTTCCTTTTAAAATCAGGACCCTCCCGGGGCGCCTGGGTGGCTTAGTCGGCTAAGCTTCCGACTTTCGCTTAGGTCATGATCTCGCGGTTCGTGGGTTCGAGCCCCGCGTCGGGTTCTGTGCTGACTGCCAGCTCAGAGCCTGGAGCCTGTTTCGGTCTGTGACTCCCTCTCTCTCTGACCCTCCCCTGCTCACGCTGTCTCTCTCTACTAGAAATAAATAAAACATTTTAAATAAATAAATAAATAAATAAATAAATAAAATCAGGACCCTCCCTCCTACACTGTTGGTGGGAATGTAAACTGGTGCAGCCCCTCTGGAAAACAGTGTGGAGGTTCCTCAAGAAATTAACAATAGAACTCCCCTATGACCCAGCAATAGCACTGCTAGTAATTTACCCAAGGGATACAGAAATGCTGAGGCATGGGAGCACATGTACCCCAATGTTCACAGCAGCACTCTCCACAATAGCCAAAACATGGAAAGAGCCTAAGTGTCCATCCACAGATGAATGGATCAAGAAGATGTGGTTTATCTATACCATGGAATACTACATGGCAATGAAAAACAATGAAATCTGGCCATGTGTAGCAACATGGATGGAACTCGAGGGTGTTATGCTGAGCGAAATAAGTCAGGCAGAGAAGGACAAATATCATATGTTTGCACGTATAGGAGGATTAAGAGGAACTTAATGGAGGACCAAAGGGGAGAAGAAGGGGGAAATGGTGGGGGAAAGGGAGAGAGGCAAACCATGAGAGACTCTTGAATGCTGATAAAAACTGAGGACTGATGGATGTGGGGGGGAGGGGGGATGGGCATGGAGGAGGACACTTGTGGGGATGAGCACTGGGTGTTATATCAAAACCAACTTGACAATAAACTATAAAAGAAAAAAAAAAAAGAAAAGCAGGACCCTGTGTGGAGGAAGGTGGAGTTTCAGCAGCCCGTGGCTCTGGCCCTTTGAGGACCTGGGATGGGCGGGATGGGCTGACTGGATGGCTGGAACTTCTGGGCTGCCCGTGCCCGGATGGAATGGCGTCTGCAGGCGGCCCAGGACAAGGCGCTCCCTCTCTCAAAAGTACCTGCCATTCTGGAGAAAATCTGCTTTCATTAAAAGCCACTTCTGCTCTTAAATCCTAGAGGTTTTTCTAGGATTAAGCCAGGAATGTCATCTTGGAAAACCACTTCCTTCTCTCACCTGTTTGCAAGGAGTCTCTAATTCAAGTTAAGTATCACTTTTCAGACCAAAACGCCCTTCTTAAATTTCGACTTTTGAGTAGGTTCCCATGGTTCAAAATCCATCATGTATAAAAAAATCTGTATCATTGAGTCCCCCCGTGGACGCACCCCATCGGTTCAGTTCCCACCCTCCCTCTCCCCGGCAAACCACTGCCCTTAGCCTCTTTACAAATCTCTCCAAGTACAAACATAGACTCTATTTACCTTCCATTATTTTTCATAAAAAGTAACACGTTATACATACCATTCACACCTTACTTTTACTCTCATACTGTTTGGTACCCTTCCATCTAAGAGAGCTTCCCCATTCCCTTTCTGCTGCTGTTCAGTGTGTCTAGGAATGCGCCATATTGGATTTACCTGTCCCCTATGAATGGGTGTTTGGATTACCCAAAATCTTTTTTTTTTTTTAACGTTTTATTTATTTCTAGGAGAGAGGGGGACAGCGTGAGCAGGGGAGGGTCAGAGAGAGAGGGAGTCACAGACTGAAACAGGCTCCAGGCTCTGAGCCGGCAGTCAGCACAGAGCCCGACGCGGGGCTCGAACCCACGAACCGCGAGATCATGACCTAAGCGAAAGTCGGACGCTTAACCAGCTAAGCCACCCAGGCGCCCCTGGATTACCCAAAATCTTTTACGAACATAAACAACACTGCAAGGAATAACTGTGTGCGCGCGGTACTTTGCATTTGTGGGGGTATCTTTAGAATAAATTTCATGGGGCGGAATCCCTAGGACCAAGGGTCCGGGCCTTTGTCATTCTGACAGACGCCGTCAGATTCCCTTCCTAGGGGCTGCACCAGGTTACACTCCCACCATCAGTGCGCACCCGTTCCTACAGATCTGCCAATGGGGCAGGTCACCAAATCGGATTTTTGCAAAGCCAATAAATGAAAATGGAATTTCAGCGAGAGATGTGCTGTTACAGTGAGTGAGGCTGGGCGTCTTTTCCTATGTCTGAGGGCTGTTAGCGTTTCAGTTTCTGGGAGCTGTGTTTGTTGCCCATTTTCCTGTGGGGTTGTCCCAAGATGGCCCTCCTCGCAGCAAGAGCTACGGCTAGTGCACTCTGCTGCTGTTTCAGAGCTGCTCTCTGGAGCCAGAAGAACAAGAAATGAAGACACTGGCTGGATTCACTCAGGCTGGAGTAGTTTCTCTCATGGGAATGGAGAGGGTGGGGGCTGCACTTCCTATTGGGACTCCCGTCCTCTGAGGTACAGCTCCCGTCTGCCAGCACGCGCAGCCTCTCCCACTGTTCCACAGACACGTCTCTTGCTAGTGGGAAACCAACAAGGCGGATCGGCAGGTGACCCACAGGTGGCCAGATAGTCTCTCCCATCTGACTACCGGGATTGGTCAAGGGACTGTCATGTGATCCACGCCTGCCCAATGGGAGCCGTCCCTGGGGCTTCCGCCAGGTGTCCAGGGAAAGAAAACCCCCTTCTTGTTACCAGGGTCACTAGCTCGAAGGACATTTCAGGGCAAATCTGCCATGTAAGAAAGGCTTGCTTGGGATGGAAGCCAACCAAGGGACACAAAACTGAGGAGAAAATGAGACGGAATGAGCCCTTGGATCCCACCATGCCTAGCACCAGGATCCACCCCCCACCCCTCACCCCCACCTCCATCTTCCTGTTGCACAAGCAGGTACATGTGACCTTCTGCTTAGAACTGGATCTCCATCACTTGCAACCAAAGATGCCCGATTATGAAGATGACAAGACTTGCACTCACCCTCTCAGGGCTGATGTCCAGAGCATCACAGACCATGACAGCAAAGCGTTTGGACCTTTCAAAGCTCCCCTTCCCGACGCTGTAGGAGCCATCTATCATAAACAGGACGTCCACGGCAGCTGAGCACCGTATCACTAGGGGGAGAGGGAGACATAATGCGTGACAACTGGCTTCCCTGGCGTCTGGTCTCGAGAGGGTCTCCCTCCTGAACCAGAGCAGAGGCAGAAAACAACCTGGGGCTGGACGGGGCTGCTGCTCTTCTTAGCACGTGGGCAAATTAACGCAGTAGAAGGTCCTTTCTTCCTGTAGCAGGAAGTCTGCTCCCCCGACCAGGCCTCCCCCACCCGCACGAAGCCCACAGTCTTCGTAATGTGGGAAATGTCTAGTTCAACACCACCGACTGAGCCATAGGAGAGGAGGGGCTGCTGGGCCAGTGAGGGATTCTAAAGAGCCTTGGTCCCAGCTCTCGGGGGCCACAGTCTAGTTCAGGATTCAGCCAGACACCCTGGCACGTGAGGCCACATTACCCCAGAGTTCAAGTGAGAACAGTACTGTCTTTCCCGTACGCCCTTCACTGCCTCCAACGCTCTACACGTGCTAATTTATTTCATTCTTATGCCCACCCTAAGATAGATTGCTATTTTTTTTTATTTAACAGTTTCACTGAGGAGTTACTACTCACAAACCGGATGATTCATCCACTGAAAGGTGATAACTCAATGGCTTTTCGTATATTCACAGATACATTCCATCACTGCCGCAGTCAAATTCAGAACATTTTCCACCACCTCACAAAAGAAACCCTATGCCCTTTAGCTCTCAGCTCCCCAGCGCCCCGCCTCACCCCTAAACAGATGTACGGGTTTTGTTCCCAGCGGAGTGATGAGGAAAGAAAGGCCCAGGACAATTCAGGAACTTCCCTAAGGCTAAAGTGCCAGTACGTGACAGGGCTGGGGAGCAGCGCAGGCTGTCTAGCCGCAGAGTCCCTGTCCCACCACCTCAGCGTGGGGCTGCAGGGGAGTGGGGGGCAGAGAAGCACCAGAGAGAAGGCGCCACCCAGAAGGCAGCAACTGAGGGGGCTTTCACCAGAGAGGGAGGGAAGGGACCTTTGGGGCCTCTGGGAATGGGCAGGTGTGGCTTGAGCACGGGGATCGGATGCCGGAAAGGGTGGAAGAGGAGGGAACATGGCGGGAGATGAGGCTGGCTGGGGAGATGGTGGTCACACAGAACTTCCAGGCAAGACCAAGAAATTCAGCAACAAGGATTTACCAAGGGCTTTCACCCACGTGGGAGAGCTGGTCAGGCCTGTTTGGGGGAAAGGACTCTGGTCACTAGGTGAAAGGAAGATAGGAATGGGACAGGAATGTTCTGGAGTAACACAGTTGCCCTTGCGTCCATCATGCAGACGCCAAAATGGGGGTCTGGAGGGTCGAATCACACATGGGCTTACTTTTGCTGGCAGCTGAAATCTTCCCAATGGTCTCCCTGCTTACGTGGACTTCCTGAAGAGGATGAGATGGGTGTGCTAGGGAAGAAAATACCAGAAGCAGTCACTGCAGAGAGAAGTCTTAGAGTCCACATTATGTGACCAGAACTAAGAGGCAGTAAGAGAGAAAACTGGAATGTGGAGGAAGTCAATGATGTTGTATCTCAAAAATTACCAGATGAAAAGCATAAAGAAACTCCTCCAATTACTCCAATCAGGTACCTCTGTATTTAGATTTGGGTATTCTGAAGAGAAAAATTAAAAATATACATAGAGGGGGACACAGAGAGCCTGTGAATCTGATGAGTTTCGCCCCTAGATCAGGCATAATAACTGGGTGCCCCTCTGGGGCGCAGCACCTTGCCCTAAAAGTTAACCCTGGATGAAAACATACAATTCATAAAAGAAATACAATTCATAGACAAGCACAAGGGTAAAAGTTTAAACAGGTGACATGTTTTAATCCAAACAATGGGAGACCTTGTAACAGTGAAATTTAAATGATCAGCTTCTAAATTTAAAGGTAATCAGGGACGGGGTGCCTGGGTGGCTTAGTCGGTTAAGCATCCGACTTCCGCTTAGGTCATGATCTCGCGGTTCGTGGGTTCGAGCCCCGCGTCGGGCTCTGTGCTGACTGCCGGCTCAGAGCCTGGAGCCTGTTTCAGTCTGTGACTCCCTCTCTCTCGGACCCTCCCCTGCTCACGCTGTCTCTCTCTCTCTCCTAGAAATAAATTAAAAAAACATTAAAAAAAAAGTGTAAAAAAAAAAAAAAAGGTAATCAGGGAAAGATCAAATCAAGAAAAACTTTTCCAGTGGGGGCACTGAAAACTGGTCCAGCCCTTTTAGAAAACAATTTGGCCAAATGAATTAAGAGTCACAAAGCTGCTTGCAGCCTTTGCCCTCCCTGGGGCATCACACCTGGGAAGGGATCCAAAGGAAAACTACTGATCGAGAAGGGGAAAAATACATCAAGACTCTCCTTTCAGAGCTACTTGTGATGGAGAAATGCTAGAGAGAAGAGATCTCCAAAGAGGTAGGGCTGTGATAAATGCTGATAAATTACTGTGCGCAATGCAATTCACATGAACAAAGGACAAGAAGTTTGGGGGTAGAAAGTTCATGAATACATCTTTCATCCTTTTATACGCTATCTAGTAAAATTGTAATGATGATATATAAGTAACCAATAGCAATTTAAAACAAACTTGGGGGCGCCTGGGTGGCCCCATCGGTTAAGCATCCAACTCTTTTTTTTAATAATTTATTTATTTTTGAGAGAGAGAAAGAGAAGCAGAGAGAGGGAGACACAGAATCCGAAGCAGGCTCCAGGCTCAGAGCTGTCAGCACAGAGCCTGACGCAGGGCCTGAACCCATGAACCGTGAGATCATGACCTGAGCTAAAATCATACGCTTAACTGACTGAGCTACCCAAGCGCCCCAGGTGACCAACTCTTGATTTCAGCTCAGGTCATGACTTCACAGTATGTGAGTTTGAGCCCCATGCTGGGCGCTGCACTGACAGCATGGAGCCTGCTTGGGATATTCTGTCTGTCTCTCTCTCTCTCTGCACACCCCCCCCAAAATAAATAAACCTTAAGAACAATTTTTTTTAAATAAACTTTGAGAGCAGGGGTAACATGTCAAGGAAGCCCCAGGATTGCTGAACACCAGTGAACCATGATGAAAGTCCTGAAGGCAGTGAGGGTGGGGCCACCTGGAGGGATTTTTTTTTTTAACGTTTATTCATTTTTGAGAGACAGAGAGTGAGTGGGGGAGGGGCAGAGAGAGAGGAAGACAAAGAATCGGAAGCGGGCTCCAGGCTCCCAGTGGTCAGCACAGAGCCCGACGCGGGGCTCGAACCCACGAACCGTGAGATCGTGACCTGAGATGAAGTCAGCCGCTTAACTGACTGAGCCACCCAGGCACCCCTGGAATCTTTAAAAAGATTTTTAAATTTTTTTTTTTTATGTTTTATTTATTTCTAGGAGAGAGAGAGAGAGAGAGAGAGACAGCGTAAGCAGGGGAGGGT